GGGTGAGGATGGGGGTGAGGGTGTGTGTGGGGGGGGAGTGTCCAAACTTTATAATACAGTCACTCTCCCCCCAAACCCCTGCGCAATTTTCACGGAGGCTGGGTTTCATCAGGTTTTGTATTTCAGACCTATTGATTATCTGCAGTGAGGGGGCACTGTGACAAAACCTCAGCAGGAGTTCTCCATCTGCAATGAACCATGTGCCAAACACACACCAACACACACACACACACACACACACACACACACTTGCTCTCCTGTGTTATTGGCTCCCAGGTTATGAAACAGAGATATAGGGATATGCTCGGTAATAAAAGCAGTAAAGGCTGCAGCTGATATTGGTTCTTTTATGAGATTACCCAATCTGCTGCGAATCAACACCAAGCACTTTCATCTGTAACACACATTTGCCTGATTGTCCTTTTCTTTTTTTTTTTTTTTTTGCATGTTTCATTTGAAGGTTGCAGTGGATCGATTAGCCTTTAGTGACTGTGGTTCCCCCTCTTTTCTAATCGATTCTTATCTCTATGACCTTTGAGTCTCGCGTGGGCACACCACAGCGGAGACAAAAACAAAGATGGAGAACATCGCAACACCTCACTGGACACGCAGCAGAATTAAGCTGAATATTTTATGCGCTTAATTATTAACTACGAGCCGCCAGGATGTTGCATGAAGATGACTTTACCTCGTGGTTTGCTTTTGCTTTGGAGTCCGACGCTGAATATTTCCGCGGAACGTGATTTCCATCTAGCGGTTGAGAGAAAAACAGTGACCGTCGCTGTCGTAAAAATACCAACACGCGGCAGCAACATTTTACGGCAAAGTGTAGTTTAAACAAATCGGCATGGCTTCCTCGTTGGTTTGCAGCGAAACACAGAGCAGGTAAGCGGCATTTAAATGTTAATTAAGTGAAATTAACCCAGTAAAGCATGTCTGGTGTGTTCAGCTGTCGTGTTTGAACGACAGTCTCTCATTTCCGATAATATCCTGCTTTTATTTCACCTCTTTTAAGCTAGCAGACGTGCTGTTTAAAGTCATATTTTGGATGTTTGACGTTAATTTCAGGGTGAGCTCAGTGCTGAACAGAGACGTAAAGCAGTATGGAAAGAAGTACATGTTTGACTGTAATGAGGAGACTTGCTGGAACTCGGACCAGGTAAAAATACATGTTTCATTCTACTTATTGTACATAGCATATGCTAATTGTCACAGTACTGTAATTACTGTACACAAAAACACATGCCTTATATTGGCAAGATATGAAATAAACTACACTAATTCAGTAAACCTCACCAAACAATAGTTATGTTTCTCAATCAGTTTGATCACTAACTACAATTTTAACAGCATGCAAAATGGTTTCTTTCATTTCTACCTTAGAGAAAAGGTTAATAATGTATTTTTCATTGTTCTGAAAATAATTAAATGTAGCCAATTGTGTACAAAAAAATTTGAGCTGTCCAACTGGTGGCAAATTCTTAACCATGAAGTTAACTCACATCATAGTCAGGAGTGGCTTTAAAGGACAATAATCAGATATGTGGCCAATACACAGACAATCCTCTGACCACCAATGCCTCCTTAAAGTGCAGCTTTATACAGATAACATGATGCCAAAGATGACAATAGAAAAATGAGAATGGGCTGCCGGCCCAGTGGATGCTGGCATGTAGGTTAGGGCTGTAGCCAGGCACACCAGTGTCCACTACTTGACTATTTGTTGTCAGAGAAAACAGACAGTGTGGTAGTAAAACAGACGTCTGCCACATGATGCCCTGGATGCATATGTCTGACAATATGAGCTCATCCCCCAAAATACCGACTTCGCCATTTCCTTTAGGAAGCGTGGAAAACATTCCACAGGCCAGCATCAACAACCTCAGTAACTTTTTGTATAACAGATGTATGACTGGTGGCTGACTTGTGATTTCTGGTCTGTGACTTCACTTTTCAATATGGAAATTATAATTTCCAGTGTAGTGACGTAGTTTATGACATCCATTCTTATTAAAGATGCCACGTGTTAGAGTAACAAGTTATGATTCTCCTGTGTTATAAAACATGGACAACATACAGCTATTTTGGGTCAAAATCATCCTTTCTGTTGCTGAAATTTTCCATAAAACCTGATGTTGCATAAGTTTACACAATTACTTTTTTTCTGTGCAGTATTTCTGTCCTGTTCCTCGCTCATTTCGCTGCACATATGTGAAGCCTGCATGGCAAACAACTCAATATCTTGTGTTTTAAGTTTTAAAAAGCTCAGAGTATCCAGATAAAGCAGAGTACATTATGTTATTTTAGACTTCTCTTGTAGATTAGTCATGGAATACGTGAAGTGTGCAGGTTCTCTTTTTGTAGGAAGCAGCAAAAGAAGTTGTAGCATAGTGTGTTTCAGTTGATTAGCCTTACTTTACATTGCATTTCCTGCAGTGTGCATGGACAATAGTCACTATTGTGATTGCACACACTGATGTCACTGCTGAACTGATATATTATGCAGTCCTACTTGAGGCTGAATAATGCAGCATTCTTAAGCTTCACTGTCCAATAACAACAAGATATGACACAAAAATCAAACTACACTTATTCAGTCAGTAAACTTCTGCAGTTAATAGTTATATTTCTGAATCTGTTTGCTCATGAGACACGATTTGTTTCAGTATTTCGCAGTTTCACTTTTGTTTATTGTGAAAAACGAACATACATCAACAGCACATTTTTTAAAAAGTGCATTAGTTAGTGTGCATACCGACTTGTTTGCGATGTTTTCCCCAGTTTTCCAGAATGCACGAACTATGTTTAAAACCTACTTGAAGCAAAAGGCTTCAACTAACAATTATGGTCATTATTAGTTCATCTGCTAATCTTCTGTTGTTGTCAGTAAAACAGTAGAAAACAAAAAAGTGCATCACAATTTCCTAGAGCTTAAATTTATGTTGGTAAATGTGTTTTTTTAACTTGACAAAGAGTTTGAAATACCAAAATATTCAATTTACTCTAATATAAGACAAACAAGACAAGTAAAAGTAGAAAAATCTCAAATTTCAGACCTAAAATATCCTTTTTTTCCCCCATAAGATGACAGTTGGCATTAAGTTCCTTCCATTAAATCAAAAAACTAATTCTTGCAGCTCTGCTTACAGTTCCTGTGTTAAATGGAATAAAGAGATACACAAATGTTCTCCACACATGCCTGGATGTTGTACTGCACGCATCATGGTGAGCTGCCATCATCACTATCGTATCTTTGGCAGGGTGAATGTCAGTGGGTGTCCCTGGAGTTCCCCAAATCTGTCAAAGTGTCAGAGCTGAAGGTCCAATTCCAGGGAGGCTTCTCAGCGAAAACATGTAGACTAGAAGGTAAAACCCGGATATTATATCACATATGGCTTTTTTAATGTAATTACCCACTTCTTTGTCATTTTAATGCTTACTTTTGCAGGTTTGTGTGCGTTATTTTTTACTTGTGCTTTCTGCAGGTTGTCCAAAAGATGGAGACTTTGCAGTTCTCAGTCATTTTTACCCAGAGGACGACAACTCTCTTCAGATATCCTTTATTCTCACTCTGCAGCATTTGCACGAGGACATTTGATCAATCAGTGGGGGAGTTATGGTGAAATTAGACCTATCCTATGTTGGAATTTTCTTAATTTAATGGCAAATGGGGGAGCAAATTTTGAAAAAATAGCCCTGATATTTAAAAAAGCACATCATTTATTTACCTGTAGCTGTCAAGGTAGCTAGAAATGTTGAATTTAACTGCAATAATACATAAGTTATAGTTTACCCACATTGACGTCTGCTGTAAATAATCTGAGTCCAACAAAGCTGCTATATCACCATGTATGTGAATGAGAGATGGTGTTATGCTGGGCACGTTAGTGTTAAACAGCAGCGCTGCACAAAGGATGTTGAACTACTGGCAGTTGGTTTGCGGTCGTTTTACCTGCCGAGGGAGTTTTCACACGTCCTGGCGATTGCAGTTTACATCCCCCCCTTAGCTGATGCTGCTGCAGCCATTGAACTCATCCATAGTTCAGTGTCCCAGCTGTAAACATCACACCCTCAGTCTCTGATCGTCATCTCAGGAGAGTTTAATCTCTCTCTACCACTCTCCCCACATTCAGCCAGTATGTGGACTGCCCAGCCATAAGCGGTGGGGCCTTGGACCTGCTGTGTGTGGACACAGAGATGCATATTACTTAATTATTGTTATTTTCTTGTACTTTCTACATTTTTGGATGCTCCTGTGGCGTGTAAACTTCCCCCAATGGAGGATCAATAAAGTATTTTATTCTATTCTGTTCTATATCAGGCTAAAATTGCTATTCGGTGATGATTTTTCTACAAATAATAACAAATGCAATTTTGTTTTAATATGGTTTATCATCAGTCTATGAGTCCAAACTGGGGATATTACAGCAGCTCAAGCAGCACCTGTCACACAAGGAACACAGCGCGTTTCCTGTTTCTGTACTAGATGGTTCATAATAAGCATCAGACAATATTTTCCTGGACATCCTTTTCATTATTACCACGCTTATCTTGTTCTTAACTCCACACCCACAGCTTTCCCATACAGGAGGCCCCTGCAGTGGACAAAGTAAAAATAATGTTTGAGAATAGTGCCGACTTTTTTGGGAGAATTATTGTTTATTCCCTCGATGTCCTGGGGGAAAGAGCCTCTTGACCATTTTTTTTAATCCCCTCATGAGAGAGGAAATGACCCCTGAGTAAAGTACAGGATGCAGGGTGGTGCGGTGGCACTCGGGAAGCATGTCATCTATACTGCCACCTCGTGAACTGATGTGAATGTGGCCTTTTTTGGTATGAACGCATTCAGGGATCCGTCGGGCGATCTCGCTCTTCATTACTCAAACACATACAGGGCGCGTTGCAAGTTTTGACTGCAGATTTAATCGGTTGGCTGCGATCATAAGAGCACTTGTATTCTGCTCGCTACACCTTTATTGTGCCTTTGAGTTAAAGCGCCATTCCAGTATAAAAATAAATTTTTATTAAAACATGTTTACTGCCATTTCTTGCTGCTGCACAACTGTCACATTTAGTCCTTGTTCATACAAAGTTGCTGTTTTTTTGTTTTTTTTTACATTGTAATGCTTACAAAGTAATGCATTCAACTGGAATAAACAGTTTGGAAATCAACAAACACCGTTTACTGTGTGAATGTTTCTACATATGTATTGATCTGCTGCAGTGACGCACATCCTTGTCCTCTCACCATCCATCATAACTGATTGGAGATCAGCTATGTCACTGTCCTCTCTATTTGTTTATTTTAACTTGTGTCATGTCGGTGGTTTGTAGAGTTTCAGGATATGGTCCTCCAACACTTTCTGAACTGGGAAACAAAAAGAAACTTCATGTAGCAAAAGCAGTTTTTACAAAAAAAAATAAAAAATGTCAGATAAAAGAACACAAAACATACTTTTTTTGTGTCCAAGTGCAACAGCTAAAGCCATCGGACTGTACCCAGAGTCAGACTCAATGGTCATATCTGCTCCTTTGGCTGAAAAAGAGCATAGCAATAGGAATTATTAAAGCATTTATACAGAGTTAACCAGGATTTATAATGACTTACAGACATTGAATGTACCTAGTAGTGCCTCGACACATTTGATATGGTTCCCTCGTACGGCATAAAGAAGCGGTGTTCCACCATTCTGAGAATAAAATATAGTGTTCGTTAAAACCACATTAGAAAAATAACTTTGTAGTTATACTGTTAGATACAGGGTTATTCCATCTTAAATCATCAGGGGCCTTCTGAATCGACCATCTCTGATTTGTTTGAACATTTAAAATGGTAATTGAGTCTTTTGGCTCATTTTTCATACATAAAAATTTGAGGCTATGTTTGAATAACAACATCCCAGAAACTTTAAAAGATAAAAGCCTGAAATGTTCACTGCCAATCATTTCATTGATTCAAAATCTGCAATATTGGACAAGTAGATCAAACAATCTCTGATTATGGCTGATTTGAAATCTGAAAACAAAATAGAAGCCGTCGTGGAGGGTCCATCTTTAAGCACACATTACCATAAACAGGGATGAAGCGGGAAGCTAGTAATATTTTCTGAACCATATGTGGTTTCATGTCACAACAATACAAATCAAAACATATCAATGAAATACTTTTTGTGGTACAACTTGATGTACCCTCTCAACCAGTTATGAAAGTTACACCATTCTTTCATTTTGTGATAAGTGTTTAATGTTAAAGTACCTGATATGTTTTGTGTTATTGTGACATTCAGCTACATATTGTTCAGAAAATATCACAAGTTGACGTCTGCATTTTTTTTTGTTAACATGTCCTCAAAGAAGCCATAATTAGAGAATATCTGATCTACTTGTCCAATATCGGGGCTGCAAGGTGGCGCAGTTGGTAGCACTGTTGTCTCGCAGCAAGAAGGTTGCCGGTTTGCGTCCGGGATGCCAATCGGCGACCTTTCTGCGTATAGTTTGCATGTTCTCCCCATGCAGCGTGGGTTCTCTCTGGGTTCTCTGGCTTCCTCCCACACAGTCCAAAAACATGTTGCGGTTAATTGGTGATTCTAAATTGTCCGTAGGTGTGAATGTGAGTGTGCTTGGTTGTCTGTCTCTACGTGTAGCCCTGTGATAGACTGGTGACCTGTCCCCTGCCTTCACCCTAAGTCAGCCCCCCATGACCCTAGTGAGGATTAAGCGGTGTATAGATAATGGATGGATGTCCAATATTGCAGATTTTGAATCAATGACATGATCAAAAATAATAAAAAATTCTGGCTTTTATCTTTAATAAGTCCTAAGATACAGTTGTTCAAATGGCCTCAAATTTCAATGTGCAGAAAACATGCTAAAAGATTAAACGATTTAAAAACGATATCTTCACAAGTATTTGATATATCGTTTAACGTTTTTATAAATATCTATGTTTTATGCTATAAAAAAATTCTGACAAATCAGAAATGGTGGAGCAGAAATTGTTCTACGAGTCTAAAGATCTGAGATGGAATGACCCCATAATTTTTTTTTTAACAAATCATACAGATTTATGATGGCAAGTCATAAAGGCATGTTCATACCCAGTCGTAGGTGTTAATGTCCACTCCATGTCTGAGAAGAGACTCAACAATGTCCACGTAACCTCCAGAGCTGGCCAGCGTCAGGGCACTCTCCCGCTCCCTCGCAATGGTTTTGGGGTCTGCGCCCTAACACATAAATTCCATTAATCATCAGTGATGTAGTGCATTTTGTCTTAAAGACATGTCTTATTTCTAACCTTTTCTAAGAGAAAGTCCACCACTGCTTTCTCTCCAAACGCTGCTGCCCACATGAGAGGCGTGAAGCCCCGTTCGTCCTGTCTGCTGAGCAGCGAACTGTCTGCAAGATACAACAGGTTACAGTCCACCAGTGGGTTTAATCCTTGTGATGTACTGCTTGGTTGTGCTTTCTCACCTTTGCTCAGGTGTGCGGCCACTTGTGAAACCTCGCCTTGGGCTGCCAGCTGGTGTATAGACAGAGCTGATGAGGGTAGAGAAAAAGTTTCATATGGTTACGACAGTGAAAACGCAAGACCAACGTCAGAGCATCTTGGCCTTTAACTTACAGTCTAATGTTGCTGGACGCACTGTAACCTCATTCCCACGCTGCTTGTTGGTCAGAGTGGTGGAGTGTTTGAACAAATCATCCTCATCCACATCCAAGTTCTCTGGAGCCCAACGCACATGTGAAGCAAGATATTTGCTGTTTAACTGGGAAACATCATGTGACTTCCAGGTGTTGCACACAAATAGATATGAAAGTGTTCACAGATAGGAAACGGGATTAAATACCTGTCGACTTGTCCTGTCTCGATTCGGAGGGACATGCATTAGCGCTGGACGGCGGAACATGTTGGCCATCTGCAACCTCATCATCACCTCTGGCCTCCATGATCACTGCAAGAAAAACAAAATATGAACTACTGAACAGTGCGATTCTTCTATGAGGAAAGAAAGTTAGTTTACAAAGCAAACTGCATTTTCCACTCACCACATCCAGCCTCACGGTCTAAAATTGCGCTAACTTCCTCTTGGAAAAACTGAAACTAAATTATTTCAGATCGCACACTGGACCTCGCTGGTCTTCGTAGAGCTGAGCAACGCCATTACTCGTCGCCCACTTGATTAGCTACTAAGCAAAACAATTATTTTTAACAAGGAAAATGAAAACACGTTTGAATCAGTAACGTATCCCCGCATCTGGCACTCTTTGAAGGAAGAACTGTTGTTTCTAAATCGATATTTCTGTCCGGACGATTATCGTGTGGCACACGACAACAATAATACGGAAGAAGCAGGAATCAGGTGACACTGCTGGCTGCATTAGGTTATTAGTTTCTGACGGTGGGGTAAAAAACATAATGGAGGACCAGGAGATGCAACTGAAAGTCAGACGAGGTAAAAAAAAATGAGCAGACTAAATAAGTGTACTTACCTCATCTTTACCTCGCAACGCTGCGGCTGCGCTAGCCTAGCCGCTAAGCTAATGCTAGCTTAGTTATATTGCGACATGTCCGCGTATCGTGTTGTTTTGGTGTTTTCATCCGTTTTTTATTTTTTTTCTAACACGGCTCATGCATCTTCTACATTTCTCTGTGCTTCTTTAATTCTGCAGTGACTGACAAATTCACGGAGAGCATGTACGTCCTGGCTAACGAGCCGTCGGTGGCTCTCTACAGACTGCAGGAACACGTCAGGAGGTCGCTGCCTGAACTGGTGCAGCACAAGGTGCTCACACTGTCACACTGCTGCAGAGAAACACCTACATGCAGCACATCTACAGCAGTAAAGGGGAATTAACCTTTAAATAAATCTCCTTATGCTATTCCAATAACCTCAGATAGAGAATTTTAACAAGAAACAAACAGATATAATGACAGTATCAGATAACAGGTTGTTGGATTCACCTGTTTACATCTCAGGGCTGATACTGATTTATATTATTAGTAATGATGGAGACCGATATTTGGAACAGTCTACATTTGCAGTAAAAATGAAGATTTTTGTGTTAAAATTTAGTATAACACAAACCCACCACAAAACTTAATTGAAATTCTTTTGTTTATGTCTATATGTGTAGTGTTCTGAACACACTACAGCAGGGGTGTCCGATCCTGGTCCTCGAGGGCCACAATCCTGTATGTTTTAGATGTTTCCCTCTTCCAACACACCTGATCCAAATGATCAGCTCATCATCAAGCTCTGCAGAAGCCTGATAACGATCCTGATCATTTGAATCAGTCGTGTTGGAAGAGGGAAACATCTAAAACATCCAAGATTGTGGCCCTCGAGGACCAGGATTGGACACCCCTCCACTACAGGCAAAACATTAAATCAGTCGTGAACAAGGGAATGTGTTTGTAAAAGTGGGGATATTTATAGAAAAAAAAATGCATGTATAGCAAAGTCAAAATCCTATTCCTTCCATGACAGGCTGATCATACATCACTAATACTCTTATTGCAAATGAGAGCCTGAGAGAGCTTGGTGTGTCAAATCACAAGTCACTGCATTTGAAATTGTCATACTGCCTATTAAATAACTGCAAAAAATGTAATTCCCTCCCTATGTCCTAGGTTTAGCACCACCATGACATTTTTGATTGATTTAAGAAAAGGCAAACAAGCCAAATAGTTTTTTTTTCCTTATAGCAGAATGATAATGCGATTCTGTGCAAGACTAAAGCCAAAGGAGTGCCTTTTTAAAGTAATTCTGTAAAACTGCTAAATATTGGATCCACTATTCAGCTAGGTCAATAATCTCTCAACCCCTATTGATCTATAGGAGTATTTCAACTGACAGTGTTGTGAATCCCGTAAAATAGTGGGCGGTTCATATGGACTCTAATTGTGAACATGGTAAACAACTCGTACGTCTATTGAGCTGCGTTTCACTGTGTCACTGCTTAAAGCTGAGGTAGAATAATAGTTAAAAATACCACGTACTCTGCTTTATACAGCATTTCTCTTATTTTCTCCTGTTACAACTTTTATAACTTATTTCTTATCTCAAGCGCCTTTCTTGTTGTTGCCGTGGTCATCAACTTTCATATCAACAAAGATTCTCTGATGCTAAATAAGGGATAAAATTGTGTCATTTTGTTTGTCTGCTGTTTAAGACTTTAATATATTTTTTTCTGGACAGACACTTGACATTGTAAACTGTTGTGGATCGACTCATTATGTGCCTGATTGATCACTGGTTCCAAAATGTAGCATTTTTACCATGATCAATATAAGTACTTGTTTAAGCAATTCTAAAAATGCGCTTCTTTGGCTCTGATGCAGCCACCTCTCAATCTGTTGTTACTCTGTGGTCTTGGAAAATTGTCCCAATGACAACACTATATGACTGTTTATACATCTAGTTAAAACCTGTTATCATTACTAAAAAAAAAAAAACAATTGTAAAAATTTCTCAAGAAAGGCATTCTAATGATGTTTGTGTTAAAATTTTCACAGAGCTTTACATTTTTAATGTAATTGTGTATCTGTTCTAAATACCAGTTTCCTTGATTATGAATAATCAGTATCAATCTAAACCCTTATAAAACATAAAGGTCAATCTCTATAAACTGTCTTCTGTAATTAAACACAATTCACATGTACCATAATGTAAATAAACTCTTTCTCTTGAATTGTTTACGGTTTTGTTTCCTGTCTTTTCTCACACAGACAGACATGCAGAGCTGGGAGGAACAAAGTCAAGGAGCCATCTACACTGTGGAGTATGCATGCAGGTGAGATGTTGCCAACTTCAACACCTTTTTGTATGAGAAGAACCCTCACTTGCCTACAACTCTGACTGTTAACACTGATCTGCTGTTGTTTTTTGTTTTTTTTGCAGTGCTGTGAAGAGCATGACAAACAGCAGCTTGTATTTCAAAAACATCGACAGCCTTCTCCGTCAAGCCATCAGCATGAAGGAACAGATCAGTAGCTCTCAAGGACGCAGGTAGGAGGCAGCAACGGCTACGTTCACCGAGTCACAGTGCTGGTCAAAGTGTAGGGGTGGAAATATTGTTTAAGACTGTACTGACATATTCATAGATTGCCATTGAGCATTGTTGCTAGAAACTTTTATCTTCACTTTAATGGCATTATTTTGCAAACTCATGAGATAGGAGCTTTGCTGTTGGTGGTAGTTGTTAACTCCATTTTCAAATTTGGAAACATGCAAATGCCTTTTATATGTAAAATATTTGGAAGCTTAGTTATGTATGACAGCAGCAGATACTCCTACAAAACACCCACCTATTCTCGACATATTGTTGTGATCTCTCTAGTGTCAGTTTCAGGGACAGCATTTCTTGCTTTACCAAAAGCTTATGTTAGTATCTATGTCTTTGATCATTTTCACTCGTTTACTCATTTGTCATTCAAACTTGGATCACAGTTAGATCTGGAGGCCTCTTTTACAATAAAGTAAGAAAATTAACCAAAGATGCAGGCACACGAATACAAAAATTGCATATGAATGACGATAAAAATGTTTTTAAAAGTTGGCAGAGTTCCAGATTAGAGGTGCACAGGCCTGTACCTGTATTGTAATCCAGTCATTTCAGCATGTTTGGTAAGGCAGCAATAAATGTGGATGTGGGGCAGGCATCAGTGGAAGTGGTTTTCATAGTTTTTTTTTCAAAAGCAATAATAGTCATGAACGTAATTTTTTGTCAGCATTCAATGTCAATACTTTAAAAAGCCAGAGAACTAGAACCTGCCTCCACAGAAGTGTGAAAAATGCACTTTTACTTGTTGCTTGAAATTCCTATTTTTGCATTCTGTCTTTGGTCCACATCATGCCTTTGCTCATGTGTAACCTTTATTTTTATTTGTCTTATATACTCCTTCACCTCAAATAATGTTTTGGCTTTCTTTTCAGTTTATGCCACTTTAATCAGTAACTGCAAAATAATATGTCAGTTGAGCTTTTTTCTAGTTAATGGAAACTTCATGTTTTCTGTTACTCTTGCATGTGCTGTTTTTTTTTGTTTGTTTCCAATTGTAACCTGCATGCAGCTTACATGATGTGACTCCCTCTCCCAGCCCCCATGTCTCTGCTCCACATGCTCCATCCACTTCCTCATGATCTCTGGTCAAAGGTGTTGCAGGTTAGTAGCTTCTTCAGACCAATACATAGAAAGACTTCCTTGAAATGAGTCGACTGTGTATTTAAATATCATTTTAAGATAACAAGCTTTTGTGAATATTGTTTTAATATCTTCATTTTTACCTCAAATTATATTTTCTAGAATAAATTTATTTAAGATTTTTGTGAAATCATTTTGAACCGCACATAATGAAACACATCTGCATGCTGTGCACATATATACAGCAGAATAAAGTATTTACATTATTACAATGAAAGCTATAAATTTGCCCAGTTGATACTTGGGTGACATTGGTGTGTTTATAGTGAGATTTAAATCAAGTTCATTCATACAAAACACTACAAATTATACAATATATTTTCCACCAAGTTAAAAAATGCTCATATATGATCTGAAATAAGAAGGTAAAAGGGGAAAACTAAGTTGTGTTTTCCAGTCAGTTCCATGTTGTCTGCAATCAGTCAGGATAAACACACTGAGTGGAAAATGTACAAACTGACAGCTCTACATCTGCGCTCGGGTTTCACTTGTTCGCATCCACATGGAGTACTTGAAGGAGATCAGTCTTCTGTAGCCACTGTTGTGTTTAACCAGGAGCTCAGCTTGCTTTGTGTCACACAAGAGTGGAGTCTTTTGCAGAAATCCCCGACTTGCGTGCAAGGACACTCCTCATCTCATTGTTGACCCCGTTCCAGGGTTTAACTTGGGCCTGCAGTAAACCAGATTCAGTAGACAGGGTCCTGTGCATTCGAGGACAGCTGCCGCCACTGCTGTAGCCATCTTTATCACTGGCGTGTCCCTGCGAACCTCCTGCAGGGGAGTACTGCTGTTGGTGGTACAGTTCTCGCTGTCTCGGGCTGCCACACTGAGAGAAGGAGATCTGGTGCTGGAGGTGAGACTGGCTGCGGTGCATCCGCGGTTTGTCCACACCGATCTTCAGCTCGCAGGGCCGAGAGAGCGGCGTGCTGCTGCTCCCGTGGTCGTTCTGATAGAGGGTGTCGAGGCGGTCGCTGTGGTAGTGCTTGGCTGTTTGGGAAGCTCTGACCAGGGAGTGTATCACGGCCACCAACAGGATCAGGATCCCAGAGGAGAGTACACAAGCACTGGCAATACCCGTCTCCATCTCAAATATGAGGAGCATGAAGATGGACATAGCTGCCAAGATAGAGAAGAGAGTGGTAGTGAAATAGAGAATTTATACATATTGAAGCTGCAGATAAAACAACCAGGAGCTTTAGTGGAAAACAGCTGGACTAAAGAAGCTCCTTAGCTAAAAGAGAAGTGTAGGTGCTATCTCCTGAAGCCCCGAGAATTACCATGACTTAGATGACTGAGAATCTACCCAAACATGTTGGTAACAGGCTAAGTAAATGCAAACAAAACACACTTTAAAGGTTGCTGTTAGTTTCTAAATTGTCTTGTCTATGTCTGCAGGAAAAGGACCGTGGATTCAGGCATGCTGAAGGACGGGGGAGAGAAGCACAGCTCTGGGATGTGACGTGACTTCCTGAGTTGGCGGCGTCACCTCTACAGTCTCTCGCTCTGCTACCTATTGATTGCGGTTGAAGTGGGGTCATAAGAGCGACACCTCCTCATCACAATGGAGTGACTGCCTCCACTGACCCCCCAGTACAAGCCACTCAGTGGAACAGAGCACACCAGCGCTGCCAGGTTCAGCATTAAAAACACTTAAGTCATGGCTGCTCAAAGAATGCATTGTTCTCTCAGACTCGCTGGACGGATCAGCGAGAAAGCAGCAGCGCTGTTTTGCCTCCGCTGTTGAAAACCCACTGCACCCGCCAATGTTTTGGACACTAGTTTTCAAGCTTTTGTGAGTTTGTTGTTAAAGGTTAATGTGCAAAAAAGTGGCCTGCATGCCAGATTGGGTAACACATGCTTAATCAGAAAGTGCAGACTCTTAAAAAAATAAAAATAAAAACTTTTTTTCTTTTTCAGTCTTTTGTTCGTACCTGCCAAGTAGACAGAAACCCCCAGACAGAAGAGTCCAATGGCCACATGTCGCACTGCTCTGCTGTCCAAAAGGAACCAGTCTGCTCTGTTGAAAGAAACCTCACAAGATTAAAGTCATGACTCGGACAAATTTACACTTGAATGTTGCTGCTTATTTTTGTGTTTGTGCATGAACTAAGAGCGCTGGATGCAACGTAAATTTTGTTCTTGCTTTTGCAATTCAACTACTTCTCTTCTGAGTTTGCACCGTTCAACTAACTTAAAACGCTTGATTATTGGTTCCTTGGATAATTGTAGGAATTTGGTGACACTCATTACTATTCACATTTCCTTGGAATGTCCCCTCCGTCAGCAGGGAGGTCCTGGGGCATGCTGTCGGATTTGTATACCGACGTGGGAAAGGGCCAGCTAGGGGCCGTGCACTGGGTGCATAATGAGAGGAAGGCCATTGTTTAGATAGGATTCATAAGGTTCGAGGGGTGGGGGTGGACCAACAACATTGCAGTGCGGGCCTCTGCACTCTGACACATAAGGCAGCCCCCTTTTATGCTTCTGAAACTACATTTTTGTTTTTCATGAAACCAAACAGATAAATTTAATAACCAGGATAAGTCTGCGGTTTACAGAGGTAACAAAAGAAGATTGTGTGGGCACGAGGCGAAACGCATACTAAACAGATTAAAGGTTGTTTCCCACTTTTAGCCACAGTGTTGCTCACCAAGTGTGTGACTAGAAAATAGGATCCCACTGAGCTATAACCTAATAAGTAATACTACCTTACTTAAAATGTGTTTTTGAAAGCACTGATTGAAATCTGGGGTATTATTTGAAGTTACAATTTGCGGTAGTGTTTTGTTTTGCCTTTTATTGAGAGAACGTTCATGTGAGTTGCATATGCACCATCGACTAACTACACCTCAGTTGCTGCCTCAAAGTTTAGAATAAAGTTGCATCTATCTGACAGTAACAGCTGTACAGGATTTAATTTCCTAGTGCACTTAGAGAGCAGTTAAACAGGGAATTATATGATTTTTACCAAATAGTACAAAGTGTGGCTGCAATTGGCGCTTACAGAATATTGGAAATGTACTAGTTTGATGTTTATTAAAGGCAGAGAACAGTAATTTAAAGGCAACTGGTAAAATCAAACCAAGTGAGGCTGCAGCATTGAGTTAGGAGATGTATGATTGATTAACTTTGCAGCTATGAGAGGAAGATTATGGGTGGTGGTTGTTTTTTTTCCATCTCTGCACCAGTGTTGTTTCTCTGGTGCGTTAATGTTATTAACTATCCAGAACTACCTGCAGCAAAAGTGCAGTTGAGCTGAGTGCATCTGCAGGTGTTTTCTAACAGGTGGCTGCGTGCTGGGGGTCCACATACCTCTCGGTGTCCTGCTCTCCTCTGCAGACCTCGGTGGAAAAGTAGCTGTGGAGCAAACACACCACCACGGAGCTCAGGTTGAGGGTGAGCGACAGCGCGGAGAGCACCGTGGACACGGGCAGCAGCACGGCCCACACATGAGCGGGGACGAGCGCGGAGGTGGACGGCGGAGACTCCTTCACCGCCGTCTGCTGGGACTGCAGCTGGAAAATCAAAATCACCGACAGAACCGACATGATGGCGGATAAAATCCCCAGTAAAGACAAGACGATCAGAGAGCGCTGGCTGTACTTGTGCGTCATGTTTATCCAACAACGTTTCCCCGGAGGAAAGAGAAAGTTTTTTTTTTTTTACGATCCTAAAGTCCCAAAAGGTGCACAAGCGGCATCGCAGTGCGTTAAAAAAAAAAAAAAAAGCGTCTCCCTGTCCTTTCGGGATGAATGGTTTCCTCCTCAGTGCTGGAGCTCCGTCTGAGCATGTGATGGGCTTTAAATCCCGGGATTAAAAAGTTCGCAACAACAATGGACTTTTTCTCCTGGATCGTCGGAAACAATGCCCCCGACGTGCTGGTGGGAGAGGCAGACACACAAACACAGCACACACAGCACATTAAACATATGTCCTCTCGCATTACTAGCTCATTACAACGAACACTTTATTATATGTAAAGTGTGCAGTAAAATATTTTTAAGCACTACAGTGTAACTTAGTGGTTCTTTGTGCTTGAGATACGGTACCTGTATTTGTCTGCTATGAATGACACACACTTGGACTACATCATCACAGATTATGTAAATTAATGTCAAATACAAAGAGGTATGTTGTACTCCAGTATAGCTGTAACACTACTTGAGTTTGGATGTAACAATTAAATTAATATGCTAAAAAAAAAAAAAAAAGATCCACACTAATAAATGTATGGAAGCACGTTAATAAATAATAAAGACGGAACCATGAACTGGGAAGACTGCAATAATAATAAAATAAATACAAAGTATAAGTTAAATACAATAAAAAAAAATAAATACAATAAAAAAAACTATATATAACTTAAAATAAAGAACAATAAAGTAAAACCGGATGTGTGTTTTGTCAGAACCCTCCTCGTGCCAAGCGGCCATTAAAAAGCTAACGTTATTAGCATTTAGCTTCAAAGCTAGCACTAATGCAACACTTCAACTTAAACTAGAGAAAATACTACAACTTCAGATTATGTAAGTGAAACAATTACATCTACAACACAATGGACACTATGCAAAAATATTTGTGGTGAAAATTTTTACTTTCTTACCTGGAAAAATCAGGTTTTTTTGGTAGTTTTCAAGTGAGAGGCCTGAGACTTTACTGGTGAGCTCAAGTGTGCATAGACTGTATTGATAGCATCCCTGACTGCTCAAACTGAGAGTGTTACAACCGTCCCCGGTCTCACTTACTCCTGAAGAATGAAAAGAAGCTGTATGAAGTGGCTTTACTAATATTTAAACAGCATGAAAAACATTTTATTAGCGACAGGGACTTTAAAGAAGTATGTTTGAGGTAAGATGCCACTGCGACAGTCAAATTGAGCCTGCCTAGTTGAGTCACCTCTTGTTCCAAGAAAATGTCACCGAACATTTTTGAAGAAGTCTCCATTAAACTCTCCTAGTACAGAGAAGGAGCACATGGAGTAAGAGGTGAGCACATTTTAGTTCACAAAACTGTTTTTTGCTGTTATGGTTTTATGAGTTTTGTGTCTGAACAAACAATTTTACAAAGTGCATCAGTAAGCTACAATCTGAAGCTAAACTGTTAGCATGAAGTTAGCGCAACACTGCCTGGATGATGCACGTTTGTTAAAATGGTGGCAGTGGGGTTAACTGAGCCAAAAGGCCAGGGTTAAGTTAAGCCATTGGCTCCATCTGGATGGAAGGGCAATATTCACCTTCAAGGAGAAGGATGAGGGAATCATCCGTAGAAAGAAGGTGATCAAGAAACTACCAACATATCAAAAACCCAAGGGAGGCGCCAGAAGGGAGTTTATATTCCCCTGCAGTGTGGGTCAGTGGCATGGTGAATAGTTAGGAGAATTACAGTGGATTTGGACAAAATATTAATCTTTCAAATATGCCTGACATGTTCTGTATTGAACCCAGTTCTGTGAGAACTGCAGTCAATTTTATTCTTGACTAACTTGATTTTGTTATGAAAATGTGAAGTACGTGGGCCTTGTTGAAGAAAAAAGGTCTTTGGAGTTGTAAACGTCAGTGATGTTGAAGCGGATTTTGTTCTAAAAATGTGACATCCTGAGGCCTTAGTGAAGACAAGTGTCCTTTAAAGTTGTAACCTTTATATAGGTTGAATAGTAGCACAGTTTTGTAAATATGACTATTTAAAAAAAAATAAATTTGTTGATTTTGAACATGATTTTGTTCAGAAATTTGTCATCTATGGACCTTGTTGAAGGAAATTGGTCTTTAAAGTTGTATATTTTATCTTTAAATACAACTTTTAGTATTGAATTTGTCTTCTTTTGATATAGCATTGTATGAGGTAATACAAATTTAAATTTTACTTGAACACAATCAGTGGCACAATTTACCCCAAGTTGAGCCAAGACAACACTTTTTTTGGAAAGCAATATTTTAAAAACTATTCATTTTAGATCCAAACCAATTATTTTCAGGGATGCCCCATATCCCAAAGTATGTACATGTTTTATTTTTAGAGGTTACTGTCATGCCCCTACTGTAAAGACACCTCAAGTAAAAACTGGCTCATCTCACCCCCTCTCCCCGACAGTTTTTATTTATTGTCAAAATGAGAGGCATGTGGAGGGTTGTAATTTAATTTGAACAGAAAAATCACAAACTTTTTCTGTAATAAGTAAAAAAGGAAGAGTAGGACTTTCAATTATTTTCAAAACTGTGGCCCTGCTAATGATAGATTTCTGATCACTTATGTATACCACAATCTAGTACAACAACATGCTTACCAGCAGTAAAACAAACGTATTATAACGTGTCTAAAAGGCCACCTACCTGGCTCTCTGTTAGGATAATAATGTTACCCTACATTAGCTAGCTGTAGCACTAGCTAGCTAGCTTGAAATGTTAGCTATGGTGGGCTAAATATAATTTTTGGTTGGACACAATTTTCATGTCACAAATGTAAATATCAATAATGATCAAGTAAAGTTCTATCTTCTGTTCTACAGGCCCCTCAATTGTAACTAAATACACTAATACAGTAAAACAATAGCTAAAAAGCAATAATAAAAAAAAAAAGTTACCTGTTTACAAGGCTAACTAGCTGACTTTATGTTGAGCTGATAATGTTATGCTACATTAGCTTGATGTAGCACGAGCCAGCTAGCTTGAAATGTTAGCTACAGAAGAAACATCCCTGTTGATTTGATATTACTTTTCTGACACAAATTGAACTCATAATAATAAAGTTAGAACTTTTGTCCAGCAGGCCTCTTATTTGCAAATTCTGTACTCTGTTGTCTAACACAGTTGCATTACAGCCGACCTGCTGTAAACCAAATGTTCTAAAATCTGTCTAAAAGGCTCACTAGCTGACTTAATGTTAATCTAATAACATTATGCTAGGTTCACTTACTGTCGCACTAGTTAGCTTGAAATGTTGACTACTGTGGAATACATTATTTTTATATCATGAATTCAAATATAAATGACATTTTTTTGTCCTGTGGGCTCCTCAATTGTAAATTAATTTTGGGGAAAAAATCCAACTATTTGTTTTAAAATAAAGACAGCATATACTAAAAATTATTTATGCGTGTTATCTTAACATTTATGTTGCAGTTAAAAGAAGAGCAACATGACATTTGGTGAGTATAGTTAATGTTATGCTTAATTTACAAGTTTGTATTACTCAAAGTGAATCCCTTTTCAGGAACAACAAAACTGTATTCTGTTTTTAGTCACTTACCTTCTACATTTTTCACTTGTGTACAATTGTTTCTTTGTGTACACAACAAACAATATTCAATATATATACTGTTAAAAAGAGAAAGAAAAAAGAACAGTATTCTTAAGGGGAGGAACCTCTTCTCAGTTTACTGTATATGCAGAACAGGTCTGATCATAACAAGCGTGTGTCTTCCTTAAGATTAGCCTACTTCTTCTGTTGTAATGTACACCGGTATCCTCATCAAGTGATTAAAGGATTACTGTACAGGCACATTGACTGTCTGCTGTGTAAGATAAAACTGCTAAAATGAGATGCACTATATAAACATTCAATACATTAAAAGGCTAAAAAAAAAATTGCATAAAAAATAATTAAAGTTCTTTACAAATTGTACATATATTCTGGGACTGTTCCATACGTTTATATCCAAGAAGAGGTTGACTTTGGTTCTCCTCCTGTTGTTTTAAATGTGCCTTATAAATAATTTTAACTTGACTATATAGATATTTTTCTACATTATGTTTTATTGATATGTTAGATATGCAAGTAGTAGTTGTGTTTTGCACACTAGATACATGCAAATCATTTGTACACTGTGTTTTTTACTGTATTCATTACATTACAGATTTAGTTGCATCTTTGCACACTGCTTTTTTTTGTTCTCTCAAATTGCTCCTCAGCCAAATAGGATCCCTGCAGGTGTACATTACAGCAAACTCCTGAGGAATCTGCAGCAGAGCATCCACCTTAACTAACTCTTGTTCATTGTGAAATATCCCTTTTACCCCGAGTCCAGCTCTCACACTCTCTGAATCTAATTAACTTTTCACTAGTTGCCTTGGAAACATGTACAGATTAACAGATACCTACTTTTTTTCATCAGCTCAACTCTTATCGGTGCTTTTACTTCTATGCGTGTCTGTATTTTAATAAGTCACTCGTCCAGTATCTGCCGGATCGAATCAAATGTTCACTACACGTACTCTTCATAAAGGCGCTGCTCGACCACAAGCACCTTGACATACTTTTAAGTCCTCGTCTTGTGCTACACAGGCCTTATTGTTCTGTTAGAGGCTGGGGGCTGTTGGGGAGGTAAAGGTGTAACTCTTATTCTGTTGAGATGTAGATAAGACTGCAGCTATAAAGGTACACAATGTGAACAATTGCTCTCACACATGTACACTGACCATGGAGGCTATTTCTGAATTCGACAGCCTCACCACATGCTCTAAAAAGGGTCATGGCTGATCTTGTCGAAAGCAGAAGTGAGAAGTTTCAGGAAAATGAAAAAAAAAAAAAAAGAAAGAAAAAATACGGAAAGTTCTCAAAGGCATCTTTATCTTTCTGCAGCTTCGACTTTGTGCCGTGTGTAGCAGATACCAGTGATTCTGAATATTACTTCCACCTGCACCGATGATGAAGCTCCTCGCCGTGTTTACGAGAAACGTGGTGAAGAGTACGCTGTGCATAAACACCGCACTTAAGACATAATTTCCCCTTCGCTGCAGGTGATTAGCTCGCCGTATTTACAGATGGGGATTTGCACTATTCTCCATCGGCTCGACCGGGCCCACGCACATGAATCCTGGCGGTAAAGGCTGTGGCAGTCTGCAGGGATGTTGCTAACTATTGCATCAGATGCTCTGGGGATCTCGAACCGAGTGTGTTTTGCGTGCGCGCAGCTCTTTTGTGTCTATACGTCTGCAGGTTGATATGTTTGTCAGTGTGCGAGGGAGAGAAATAGAGTTGTTATCCACGCTTACTCAGATGATCTGTGCTAATAAATTGACACCGTATTATTTTTGGAGTACATTGTGTCACACCCCAAAAATAGTCAATAATGCAGCTCATGCAGTGATTTAGTTATTACCTCTAAATATATCTATTAAGCTGACAGCACGTCTGCTGTCCACCAGCGTCTTGGCTTGGCTTTTGATCATTTTATCGTCACGTCTTGTCCGCGTTCTCGCTCGCTGGAGGCGCTTTTTAGCAGATGCGTTCATTAGAGACACCCGGGGTCAGCTGATAAACACACAACAGCAAATGTGCTTCAGCTGTTGGGACACATGGCATTCTGACTGAAAGATTGTGTATCAGCGGCGGATAATTGTGAACAGCAAAACACTCCATCTGCATGTGACTGTATCTTGTTAGGCATCATAAAGCAGCACTGTTGAAGCTTTTAGGGGCTCGTATTTGAAAATTTGAGCATGTTTATGAGAAGAAAGAACAAGAAAAGAAACCCCCCCGAAAGGTGAAATGTACGACACAAAGCTACAAATGTCTCTGTAAGACTCTGATTTGTAGATGAATCAGAAGACATGTCTTTCTTTTATACATTCCTTAAATGACATGCGTTTTATTTTATTTACTACAGAGGCATTCATTTAATTCCTGAACAGATGAGATGCTAGTTTCTCACTATGAAACAGCAACAACAAACCGTCGAAAGGATCAATTCTGTTTTAAGGAAAACATTTGAACTGAGCCATGTTGGTTTTTTAAAAAGCTGACTTTTCAGAATGAGACAGATCACTTTTCTCCTCTGTAGCTTTTATTAAACTTTTTGCTGAGATTACCTGAGAGTTTATGATTGTGTTTTAGTGTGATGTTGTGTTGCATCATGGACGATTGTAATTGTATCCCATATGTGCAGCCATGTACAAAATGACAGTTACAGTTTCACATCAGAGTTTGGTGTCACTGTCATCTCATCATCCACTGATGACATGGAGGCAGTGAACATATATGACACTCGTGTTACACTAAATTGCACTTTAGTGAATGTCTACCTATATGGAGCCTCTTCTGGGTTTTTTTTTTCATGCAATAACCTTTTCTTTGAAAGACCGTGATGTGCACAGAGGCTAAAATAACTCGAGGGTTTCCTCTCGAAATAATGTTGCGTCGAGAAATGAAAGCCTGTTATGAAACATACAGCACATACAGAACAGGTATTTACTGTTCACTTGTCCTATTTGGGGGATTCTCTTGTTTTTTTCACCCTGTTGATAAATATATATTCTTTTCCTTTTTTAAGTTTTCTCACTACACCATCCTCCAGATTCATGCTAGTGAAGCATGTTGAATTTAAATCGAAACCCTAAAAAGTATTTTTTTTTCTTTTTTAAATGATGTATCAGTTAAAGTAAAACAGACATTTATTTTCCACTCATGTTGAGATAATTAATTCAGTGCAACTTCATAGAACCCTTGAATAGATGTTCAATTTTAAGATCATGTAGAAAAACTCATATTAATGCAAAATGCTGTTAAAACATAAAACACCTCTCCGACCTGAAATGCATGAATAACACAAGGCTTGTGTCTTGAAGCAGTTTTCAACCTGTGGATCGGCACCACCCTTAAAGAATCAGAATCAGCTTTAATGGCCAAGTACGTACACAACATACAAGGAATTTGGTTTCAGCTGTTGGTGTCGCCCGAGGAATTTGCAGGAATAATAGAAATAGGACCATTTAAAAAAATAAAATAAAGTCAAATAACTACAGAAAGAAAAAAATAAAATACAATAAATATTAATTTAAAAAAAAAGACAAGATAATAAGACAAATATGTACAAGAATTTACACATCCGAGCAGAAAAGGTATATGTACATTAGTGCAAAGAGGAAAACTGAGGTATTTATCTGAATTAAAAAAAACAAGAAACTTTCTAATTATTTCCTAACATTTTTTGTTAATCTTTACTTTTTCTTTATAGAACCGTTGTTTGACAGTTTTAGCTCCTTGGGCCTCATATTCAGGTCAAACTGTCTAAAAGGGGAAATCACTGTGACCTGCACACCAGTCTTGATGCCTGTGACAAGAGCATGCAGGCAGACTATAAAGGAATCACAAGAAACAACCGTCTAATTCTGTCATCTGTCACTGATTAGTGTTATTTTCAACTTTTTTTAGGGGGGGAACAAAAAAAAAAGAAGAAAGGATGCTGGAACCTCTAAAGATCTAACATGGAGCTTCAGGTTTTTCTCATTTTAGCAAAGAATCCCTCAACTTTCCTTTATTCATTTACACTTCTGTTAATGTCAAAAGGTTGTTTTATATTTTCCATACCCAGCTTAGTGGGTGTTGGGTGTGGGGAGGGAAGAAAAAAAATGCAAATTGTGCATCACAGAGCAACACTTTCCCCTGCAGTTTGTCCAACTCCTCCTGTCCTGTGATGAAGTTCAAATCAAACCTATTAAAACACACACAAACAACCCTAATCGTACGTTTTTAAGCGCAACTTTCTGCTGTGATCTTGCGGACAGCCTTCAGTCGACGGCTGCGTTTGAAGGCGGATGGGAGGCGGTGGAGTGTGTCCAATGGCGCGGCCGAGGAGGCGGTGAACGGTGACAGAGAGAGAGAGAGAGAGAGAGGCGGGCAGCAGCAGCAGCAGCAGCAGCCAGCTGTTGGAAAGCAGCGCTCCTCAACCATCCGCCGCTACTGCATCAGGTGAATATCTGCACATCAGCACACAGCACCGGACACCTGCTCCTGCTCTTTTTTTTTTCTTTTTTTTCTTCTTCTCTACTTCCCAAAACTTTCCCTGTTTTTGCTGGCCTGGATCAAGTTGTTGGGTGAAACTCAGAAGTAAACAAGGAGATCGAGGAACAGGTGAGAACCGATGCTCTATTTTGGTTTTTACGCACGTGCTAAGTGCGCTCTCTTTTTTTTTGCCCCTTTTTTTCCCCCCCTCCTCTCAAAATAATTTCGGTTTTTAAGGCAAATGAGCAAAGTTTCCTGGGGTTTTCCTGTGTGACAGCTTTCATGACACAGCTGTGAGCTGGGTACCTGTTGCTGTGTTATTGGGGGGCTGCCTATAGATGAGGCTATATTAGACGGAGGAGCTTGGCAACCCGGGGACAGACTGGCTATTCTTAAACGGCCGCTTTTGAATGACGTCAGCAATTTATCGGGACTAATTATTCGCAAACATTTTTTTTTAAGCTATGTATTTTTACAGTTTTTATTTATAGCCCCCGCTGTGCAAATTGAATCTGCGTCCTTGGGCAACAGGCACATCTCATGGCATGACTGGCTGGACTTTTGGAGGCATCTCAGCTCAATATATTCAATTTTTTTATGTGTATAATATTTATTCTCTGTTATGAGTTGTTGCATGAGTCCTCCTCTGGCTCATTAATATATAAATAAATAGAGAGAAATTCATTTTTCTCATCCCTTCAACCTGTTGCCCTTTCACTCAGCCAGCTGCTCTCTAGGTTTCCCTCCAAATGTGCATAGATGGAATTGTTTTTATTAAAAATGTGACTTCATTGGCTCAAAATTAGTTTATTTTTCATATTTCCAAGAAATTCAGTTTTCCCACTGTGCCCTTTAAAGTTGTGGCTCCTCCAGAGGGACTCTCGAAAAACTTCTTTTTCTCTATTTCTAGAAGCATCAAATGCTCAGCTCACGCCCGTGTATACCATCGCCACTCTGGCTCTATCAAAAATATCAAGGCAATTCAATTATCTCCAGTTAAAATTAGACAAATATTTCCTCAACATTGCTCTGTAAAGGCCCGGTGAGCGCATGGACCGTCTGACCCCCCCAGAAGATGACACATACAGGCAGACATTTGTGTTGTATTCCCCAGAGTAGGTAGAGCTGCTCGTGCTTTGATGTACAAATGACATTCTTTAGGTTGTCATGCGAGCTATGCAAACCTGCGTCATGGACTGTAAAGTGTGATAAATTCGCTGAGAAACTGATTGTCACCCCGAGGCCTTTCGCTGCTTGAAAAATGTTTCTGTTTTCATATGAATTTCAGTTGCAATTTTGAACTCGAACCCTTTTTTAACGTGGGTTTGTGAGAATGCATCTGTATTGTGTGTATTGGTTTATACAGGTGAGGTTTGGGGACAGTTTTGGACCCAGTTTCACATTTTGCTCTCTTTACCCAGGACTTTGATGTTACTTTCGCGAGTCACTAAAACAGGGAAAGTCCTGTTAGATGTAATTCACAGCTGCTGCTGCTGCTGCAGTTCGAGTACGGCATTAGTCATGTTAGGCTCAGTTTCTCTTTAGATGGCTGTCATTGTATAATTAATACATGACTGAGCGGAACATACAGAAATTAATAATTTGCAGCAGAAGCAAAACCTTAGTGTTAAAACATGCCTCAATATTTGAGTTTTGTTTTTTTTTTGCAACTTCATTCATTTGGTTATTTGGCCTTATTTAGCAGCTCATGCTGCTTTGTTGCCACACAATAGGTCATTGGCTTTTTTGGTTAATGCGCTTACACGTGTTTACCATGTTTTTGAAACGTTTAGCTGCCACCATGCTCCGAATGACTCACGGAAAGAAAACCGCTGAAGCAGAACCTCCAATACTTAACAAATGCCCTACTTTTTCCCCCTTCTCATTCATGCATGTAGTTCACAGCAGCACGAAAAAACATCCAGCGCCATATTAACCGGTAATATCAGAGCAGTTGAAATGATCCAGTCTGTTGATGTGCGAGCTGCGTTGTGCATCGTTGTCCCAGGGAGTTCCCCGGTGGATAGTCAGAAGAACCCAAGGTAATGTCAGTGTTTTCCACCGTCTCGCCTCTGGGAAAGCATCTGACAAAAGGTGCTGTCTTTCCCTGTAGAAGCCTGAGACCCAGGGGCAAGCGTGAGTGCGTGCAATTATTGCGCTATTACAGGGCAGACAGCGATTCTGTTTGCATTCGTGTCTTGTCTTCTTGGACTACATAGCAGTAAAACTAAATCTGCTACTTCCTTTCCATGTTCACCTTTTCTCAGAGATGACATGATCAGGAGTCGACCTTGACGATAAAAGGTCACAGGTGGTAGGTTGGTGCTGCTTGGCTGGTTTCTGTGCCTTCACAGACCTCAAATGACAGTTGTCATGTGGGAAAACATCCAGAATTAGCTGTGGGGCACAACCAGGCTCTTCCTGCCTGTCTCGGTCTTAAGGCCCTTCAACAAACCTGCTAAACCACATAGAGTTCTGTAGCGAACGACGCGCTTTTTGACTGGAGGTGTTGCTATATTTACCCAGCTAGTCATGCATTTTCTAACAGAGCTGTCTGTGGCGCTGATAATTGTCATTTGGTTATATCTGAGAGGAGAGGAACCTCTGGTAAAACCCTGAGATAGAGATCTGTCTGTCCTGTTTAGATCATACCTCCCACTTCCCCCTCTTCTCACCATTAACATGCCTTGATATGAGGTAAATAGTCTCACTTCTGGTACAAAAAACAGAACAGCTTAACCTGGTGTGAATTCGTTGTGGTAGCTGAGCTGTGAGTTCGACAGACCAACGCCGTTTTTTGTGGTCCTACGTGTCTTGTGTTTGCTCTTTACCCCAAAGACAGTGGCAGCCATGAGACCGTCTGCAGCTGCTGAGGTGCGTCTCGTCTCCGCAGCGTATTCAGCGCAGTAGATATCATAGGACTTTATAAGGTAATCATGAGGGCAAAGAGGTGGATTCTTCCAGAAATGCCCCAGATGCCTGTGTGCCAAGCTTACGTTGAGGGACAGCGGGCACTTTAGGGGTCGTGGGAACGCAGGCGCCATATCCGCTCAGGCACCATCAGGAGGGGCAGCCGACTAAATATAGAGATGTCCAATACATGTCCAGAATTAAGGGGGAAAACCAGTAAAAACTCCTCTGGGGCTTTTGAGAAGCACTGTATGGTCAGGTCAGAGGAGTCAGACCACCACTTAATGCCGTTGTTTGACTGATTGATTGAGTGGAGATGCACTGAGCAAACTAATGTACGCATTCGATTTTGTGTGATGCAAAGAGTGAAAAATGATGCTTGGATTTGATGTTTCGCTGTAGTGTCTGCTCTGTTTGGTCCGTCAGGGGGAAAGAGTTTTCTCTATGCAAAAAAAACAACTGAAAAACAACTGGTGTGACTTTCAAAAATGGACATTCTCAAGCCAGCCGCAATCCATCCATGTCTTTGCCTTCTGCCCCTCCAAATCCTGCTATTTTTTTTCTGACCTGGCTGTGCATGAGAGAGGAGTGGGTGGCTTTTTTTTTTTTGCGTCAGCCATCCTTCAAAAACACACCGTTTTCCTTCTGCTGTTTGGTTACAGCTATTGCCTGCTGAACCTTTAAAAGGAGCTGTGGACTGTATTTTTAACCCTGTCTCTTGGGGCTACGCGGTGCAGTCGAGCACTGTGCTGTTGGCCCGGGGGGTAACCCAGACTGCGAGGGTGTCAGTCTGTGTGGACTGCTGGCCCGGCAAGAGTCGCTCTAACTTTAGACTGCATCGCCTCGTGGTGGTAAAAATAAACACCCTGCCCCTACTGAGGGGAAGGAACTCGAGTCACTTCAACCAAACGGATGACATTTTCCCACCAGAATCGTTTGAATGTGAGAAATGTTTTTGAACGTTTGTTAGGTTTTTAACTATGAAATGCAGACGCAGATCTCCCTAAATTGCTGCACAATAATTAGTTCAACAGTTTGCAAATAAAACTGTAAAGTTGCATTTTCTTTGCTCTAGAAGAGGAAAAGTGTAAATAAGATCATATTTATTTATTCTGATGTTCACTGCAGTTATGTGAATGCTCGGAATTAAAGTGTATTGTATTATTCTACTCTATAATTTCTTTATTTTTTCACAGGTGTCAACACATCAGAAGCAAAAATGGGAAGAAAGAAAATACAAATTTCTCGTATTCTTGACCAGAGGAACAGACAGGTGAGCCAACATGCAGTAGTTCATATGTTTTAGAACCTTTCATTCCAACTTTAAAATCACGTTGCTAAAATTTGAGAATCAACAAAAAATTAATCAGGGACTATTTTGCTAATCAGTAAAATGTTTTTTAAAGTAAAAAAGCCCAACATTTGCTCTTCTCAGCAGCTCCAGTGTGAGAATTTGCTGCTTTCCTCTGTTTTATATATTTGAAAAGTGAACATCTTGGGGTTTTCGACAGCTGGTCAGGCTCTGGGGATCTGTGATGGACACCTTTTCACTGTTTCCCTGACATTTTATAGACTTCACGATTAAGTAACAGCAGCAGGGAGATACTACAAGTACCGAGAGTAACAGGGGAAAGATAGAAAGACAGATAGAAACAAAATATGGAAACAGCAGCGTGAGTCTAACACACCGCACATGCATAACTTTAAATGTGATCACTAGCAGCACTGTTTAGAATGTAAAGTCATGGAATGTGTGTTGTGCATCGTGCAGCAAGAGCACAGGACATTTCTCAGTAGTGTGAAGGTGAAATATCACTATATTTAGAATGACACAGCTGAATAAAATTTTATTAATATTGCACTAAATTCACGAGACTTTAAGATATTATATTATAGAGAGAAACCCAACAGTTCCCTTTGAGCAAGCTCTTGGTGACAGTGGAAAGAAAAAAACTTTCCTTTAACCTTTTAACGAGCACCTTCACTGACTGGTTAACGAAGAGCCAAAAAGACAGCAGTGAGAGACAGACACATTATGTAGTCAAATTTTATGATATCTGATGCATGAATAAATCTCTAAGGGCCAAATTGCAGCCACAATTCAAGCTGTCTATTACCAAAAAAGACATACTAACCCACTGCTGTAAATGTGACCAAATCCAAACATAACTAAGATTTTTCAATCGGCGTTAAAAAGAGCACTTATGTTCTTTCACGCTGAACAAAGTGAGCGCGCTAAGAGGCCGAGACGAAAAGAGGAAACATGGCTGAACTCTGAAAAGAAGATAAGATATATTTAACACAAGAGGAAGTTTTTAATCAGCTTGATGAAAGATGAATCAGATAACACAGATTACATATAGAATACAATCGTACTGTCACTTTACAGCTTGCGTACGGTGCGTTTTCTCAGAAAACCACAGAGCGAGATAATGTTAGCAGGAAGCCGCCACCTGAGAGAAATGTTTACATCGTGCTGATAGCCGATTAATATTTTAATAAGAATGTACATTTTGATAAATGTATGCTGATATGAACGTGAAACAGTTATTTTGTGTGAAAAAAAACCCACCAAGGAATCAGTACAGACGACCAGAAAAACGTATTAAAGCGTTTTCAGAGAGCTGGTAAACACAATTTATTTCTCATATCTGATCTTTTAGAGTGAATGTTTTGTGGTGATAAGGTTTGTTTTTGTGGATTTTTTCCTTATCTGAATTGAGTGTCTGAGGATCGACGGCGTTGTTTGCTGTACAGATTTTAAAGCCCTCTGGGATGAACTTGTGATTTTAGGCAATATACATACACTTGACTGTCAAGATTGTTTTCCTTTCTTGTGTTTGCAAGTGGGTTTGTAGGTCCTGCTTTCACTAAACGAAAAAAATAAAGTCAGTTCTATCTACCGTATTTCTTTAAAAAGCTAAAAATGTTCATGTTAATGCTTTGAAATTTAATTTTAATCAACCAACTTCTTCCATTTGCTTTATTTTTTTCACTCATTCACTCCTAAAGTTGTATATACTCCTCTAGCTCATGAGGAATTAACTGAAGTTAAATGTTTATTTCATCGTAGGTGACTTTCACCAAGCGTAAGTTTGGTCTGATGAAGAAGGCCTACGAGCTGAGCGTGCTCTGTGACTGTGAGATCGCCCTCATCATCTTCAACAGCACCAACCGTCTGTTCCAGTACGCCAGCACCGACATGGATAAAGTGCTGCTGAAATACACAGAGTACAGCGAGCCGCACGAGAGCCGCACCAACACGGACATACTGGAGGTACTGTAGAAACTAAGAAAAGGAACTGTGTGAAGTGGTTTTGATACACAGAGCTGTGACATGACAGTCAAGTCAGTTATGATCTCATATTGACGTTAAGATTACCTTATAATGGAATTTCTTTAAAAAATAATGAATTGATTTTCAGATAGAAAGCAGAACCAAGAATTTCAGATGGCAGACGTATACCAAGATGAATACAGGTTGTTGTATTTTGAATGAAAACCTCCTGAACTATCAGTAAGTTTCCACATGTACTTTCTGTTCTGCATCAGACCCTGCGGAGGAAAGGCCTGGGTCTCGACGGCTCAGAGCTCGACAGCGAGGAAAGCATGCAGGTGGCAGCAGATAAATATCCTCTCAGCGAGGGCATGGATCTCTCTGTGGCTCGCCAGCGCTTCTACGTCAGTCAGCACACACTTCTGCTCTCATACGTTCAACACAAACACACGCACACTCACAAACATGCTGAAACCATGTAGGAAGAAAAGCATTAAGCACTCATTTTTATTTAACTGAAACAGATCATTTACTCATGCCGTGGTGTTCTACTGTTCAGGCTCCGTCTCTGCTCTCACCGGAGGCACAGTTTCTGGTGTCTGCAGGCTGTGAGAACGGTTTCCCCAACTCCTCCGGATCCAGCATGGCCTCCCACAGACCTCCAGGATTTAAATCTCTGAGCTCCAGACCCGGTTCTGCCAGCCCTGCTGCGCCGCACACACACACCGCGTTCATGACCCCGCACTCAGGTGAGCCCGGATGGTCTGAAGAAGCACTACCAGAAATGCATTTTTATTACAAACTGAAATATTTCCTGGAATTCAGCAAAAGCCTGCTATCAGTTTACATTTTACATTACTGTAGACTGTATGCTGTTGTGGCAGCCACAAACTGCACTGTTTAACAAATCTAATCTCTTTTTAATGAGTCCAATTTGACTTCTAAATGATACCTTGTCAGTAAAAGAGTTAACTGCAAAATGAAATGTATGAAACAGTTTTTTTTTTAAATTGAGTGCCATTAAACTATATATGTAGCATATGTTTGAAATATTGAGCACAAGCATTTTTCAAGCTTTTCGCATGAAAAATCCATTAAACGCTCCTTTCGCTAAATGCTTGGTGTAAATTTCACATGCGTACCGCCGTCAACCATCTGTGCAGCTGGCTGTGAACTCACAGGAAGTGTGTGTACGAGTGTGTGTGTGTGTGTGTGTGTGTGTGTGCACTAATCCGCACATGCAGTCGGCCTGTTTTGTGAAACTGGCCCTCCACCAGTGTAGCAGTGGCTATAACATTTCTGTGGTTTCTATACAGAATGCATCACACCTGCCTGTCTTGTCAGCCTCTTTTACAGCCTGTAACAGTTTGGAACCACTGTGATGTGAAGTAATCGCCGACATTCACAGCGTTTCTAAATGCAGAATTGTGTTTTTTGGTGAGAATCGACGCTGATTGATTCAATCAGTACAAAGTGGATTCTGTCAAATCATCAATACATTGGAGTATGTTACAAACACTCCAGCTTGTTAATGATAGTTGAATCATGAAGATCAGATGTGAATTCAAAGCTCGAACTAAAAGAAGAAGTTTATTTTTATCACATTTGTAGGGAGGGGAAGAATGTATCGCAGAGAATAAGTGATTCCACTGTGAGTGAAACAAGTTTGTTTTTTTCACTTCCTGCTCCTTTCTTTCACTGGTTAGGTATCGGCTACTCCGTGTTCTCCCACGGAAACCTGAATCGAGCTCTGGACATGAAGAGCCCTCCTCCTCTGAACCTGGGCACTGACAACCTGCGGGCAGATGCAGCTACTCAGGCCATGGGGGCTGCACGTGTTAACCACAACTCTGCTGTAAGTAGCTGTTGGTACCCAATATGATAGACTCATGTAGGGATTGTTACACTACAGTATGCAATGCTGCCTCGAAAAGTTCTTTATTTAAACACAAATTGTTCTGCAAAGTTGTGCAACTGTTTTCACGGTTTCTCTGACTCACTCACACCTCCCACAGTTATAATAATCACAAGTTCTACGTAGTGTGTGTCCAGTGACATCACTGTATCACTAGAAACCTGAGATTTTCAGCTTGTCTGTTTGTGTTTCTCTGATCACCAGAGGGGCCTCTTGTATCAGGGCCTCCACAGCAGCAGCTCCATGGTGGCCATGGGGAAGGCCGGGCTGTTGGGTCACAGCCTGGGAGGCTACGGCCTTCCGTCCCCCGGAGCCTCTGGTAGGTTTGATCTGAATCATTAATGGAAAAAACATAGAAACTAAAAAGGTATTTTAAAGCAATGAGTTGGCAGTTTTTTAACAACCTAATTGCCTTTTTTTACTGAGAGTTAGATGAGATGATGTACAAACAGTTAGACCAGCTCTCAAATGCAAAAAAATCCACATACTGTCTCTAAAAACTTGCAAAATAAGTTTAATCTCTTTTTATTCTGTATATTAGGAATATCAGGGCTGCACTTTGGCTTGGTTGTTAGCACCGTCGCCTCGCAGCTACTGTAAGCGGTGTGTGGATAATGGATGGATGGATATTAGAACTATCAATTTGTGTGTTTTTGCAGGACCATTTAAGGCTCAGAGAGCTCCTACAGTTTCTGAAGGTTGTGCAGACAACAAGTTAAAAGATGTTAACTAATGTGAAATAGAAAATACAGTTTAAAATGGGTTCATTTTGTTCTGTAGCTTTGTTCAAGTCAGCTGCAGGACCAACTGATTTTCTCCAAAAGTGCAAATATCTGCATATATATTGCAGCTGGTATTAGTACTAGTATTGCTGATACTAAAGTTCTGAATAGTTCAGTGACTGACTGTGTTTGGTTTGGAATGTGGGTCCATGAAGCATTAAAGTCTTTGCATAACTGTTGACAGATACATAAAACTAGTCAGATATCCTTTGAAGTTTTATATTATCATGTTTTTAACTTTGCTTATTGCTGCTGCTAAGGTGTCCTTGAGTTTTTTTTAAATACATCCATCTATAAATCATCTATCCATCCATCATCTGTACACCACTTAATCCTCACTGGGGTCATGGGGGGCTGGAGTCTATCCCAGCTGACTTAGGGTGAAGACAGGGGACACCCTGGACAGGTCACCAGTCTATCACAGGGCTACACTTAGAGACAGACAAACAAGCACACTCACATTCACACCTACGGACAATTTAGAATCACCAATTAACCTCAACATGTTTTTGGACTGTGTGGGAGGAAGCCAGAGAACCCAGAGAGAACCCACGCTGCACGGGGAGAACATGCAAACTCCACGCAGAAAGATTCTGGGTGTCCTCACCACGACACAAACTGGTGACATTCTTGCTGCAAGGCTATGGTGCTAACCACTGAGCCACCTTGCAACTCCCTATAAATACAATTTTTTATTATTCTTATTATTGTTATTATTATTGTTGTTGTTGTTATTATATCACAGGAGGCTTAGCCTGTTTTAAAATAGTGGCCTGTGTGCTAGAGCATTTTAAAGGATGGGTTGTCTGTTCTGCATCATCTGCTCTGTGTATAGCATAGATTTAAAAAGATAAATATAAAAAAACATAGAAATTAAAAACTTAGTTCTAAAGCAATGTGCTGGCATTCTGTGAAATAATCGTATTTGCTTTTGTGCTTAGAGCTAAAAGAGATAAAAAGAGACAAGAGATATATAAACTGCTCGGCTGGCTCTCTTTGTTTGCAACAAAAAAAAAATCACATACCAGCTCTTAAACTGGCCAATTAACTTTTATCTTTTTAAAATCTGTACAAAAAATTGAGAGTAAAATGATTAAGTTGTGGATGTGAACAGGACGGTTTCTATGCTTCTCTCAGAGCGCTTCAAGAGTTTCTGCAGGTTTCCTTCCAACATCACAGTGATGATGACGGCTGTTGCTACACCCATGAAATAGTCATAGTCTGAACTCCTAGTTGTGCAAACAACAAGAGAAGAAGTGTTAATTTGTGTGTGTAAGTGACAGAGTTCTTCATGTTTCCTGTCTGTACGTTGTGCGGAGTTCAGCTGACTTCGTGCTGACAGTCCCTTCCTATTTACTGAGAGTGTTTCGATCTTCTCATCTTACTCACAGCAAGAAATCCAACACTATGTCCCCGAGTGTTAAATTAGTCTTTTGGTTAAGTGGAGGTTATCCCTCTGTTCTTTTAAGTAAAGCTGTTTTATTTAAATCCATCTGTGTCGTATCTTTTTTATATCCATGTTCTTTCTTTCTTTCTTTCTTTCCAGAGTACAGCCAGCCTGGTTTTTATCACTCCGTTAGTTTACAGCGAGGAACAGTGAACCCCTGGCAACCAGCACAGCCGCCTCAGGAGCCTCACGGGTCCCACGGGCCTCACATAAGTCCAGGGTAAGCATATTATATGTTACTGTGGAAGTCATATATCCACTGTGTGGGTAAAATGTGATCAATCAGGGAACTGAGCCTGCATACGGCTGTTTTCTCTCAAAATGTTTCCTTGTGTTTTCAGTGTTTCTGCACAAAATTTCAATTAATCAGACACAAAACAGCAACAGACAGCAGCTCATTTACACAGTAACATGTTTCAAAATGACCACAATCAGACGCTGGTGTTGTCTTCAGAGAACAGTGAGATCAGATAGTCAGACAGAGCAACAAATGTGAAAAATGAGTAAAATAAAGTAAGAGAAAAAAGAAAAAGAAAAGCAGTGAAACATAAAAATGTAATAGATAATCTAATAAGATCAGAAAATAAGAAAAAAGAAAATAAATTAATATGGAAAGAAAATAAGAATTTTATATATTTTTTTAAAAATACAAAAAAAATCTATTTTTACCTTTTATTACCTATTTATATACTTATTGAATATTTTTTCTAATTTATAGTAATAATAATAATAACAATAATAATAACAATAAAAATAAATCACATATAATCAATATTAATATATTGTTATAATATTAGTCAGTTTGTTAATTAGCTGTAAAAAATAAATCAACTATTACTGGATTTTATGTCCAGTTTTTCCCCATTAAATTTGAAATCACGCATTCTGGAGTCTCTCCTTGTTGTTTATGTGAAAGGTTCTTGTATTATGGAGCATCCTTGTGGCGTTTTCATCTATAATAGTTTATTGTAAAATGTTGCATACACTATGTTTTTAAATTCTTTTCTTAACTGACGCCCTTTAGAAAACGATTGCAGCGCTGACGATCGCTCTTGTTGTTTCCAGGATGTCCAGTGGAGGGTGCTCCTTCCCCTCTCAGTCCTGCTCCTCCACCTCTCCACATCTGCCCTCCCTCAACCTCAGCATCAAATCGGAGCGCAGCTCTCCTGAGCACATGTCCTCACCTACCTCCCCTCCTCTGCACCACCTCAGGCAGCATTCTCCAATGAGCAACCCCGATTCTGCTCGCCATACCCCTCCGGAAAGCGGTCCGGCCAATGGCAAGGAGTTTCCCAAAGGCGGCTACCCGCAAGACGAGGAGGACGGAGGGCAGTCGCTCAGGCAGCTAGAGATGAGTGACGGCTGGCAGAGATAGCCGGCTGCTGCAGTCTAACACCATCTCCCATTCAACAGCTGTCTTTCAGCAGAACCAGATGGGGAGGATGTGTCCCCGTCATCCCAGAGAGCAACGCCTCTCTTTTCCTCCTCACACAGAGCTGGTCTCTCCTGGGCAGCAGAGAATTCTTCTCTGCATCTCTTGCTTGATCCCACGAGGAGATAGATGCATACAGACTTGCGCTTTCTGTTTGGTTAGGTTTAGTTTTCTGTGTGGCGCTAATGTGAATCGAAAAATGCAATTGGAAATGTGTTTGTTTTGTTTCTGTGACTTTGTTCAAGTTCGCTGCAGCAGCACAGCGGGACCAACTGAGCTTCTCCAAAAGTGCAAATATCTGCATTTGGCTTTCAAAGCAAGAAAACTTCTGAGTAGTTCAGTGCTTGACTGTGGTTTGGTGTGAAATTTGGAAAACAGCAAATTATGCAACATTGAAGTTTTTGTATAAATGTTCTGGACAGACACATAAAACCAGTCAGATTTCACAGGACAGTGAAGTGTTCCTGTGCACTCGGGCATTTTAAAGGACAGATTGTCATTTTTTTTAAGTCAGTCTTGAAACTCTGCTGATACATTTTTGGTCACCTGCTGTCCACACTGGCTATGAACAAGTCCTTTCATAATGGACTTTCAATGAGAGAGATGGCGCACAAACTCCCCTCTGTTGATTTGGTGTAAAGGTGCATTCTGAAGTCCAGCTAACAGGAGGTTTCAGCAGCCTGAAAAGCTATTTGCGTTGCTCAGATAGTGTTTCACTGCTGTGCTTTGTTGGAGTAACAGTCGAGTTTATTTGCAGAGTACAATCTAATACTAAAGCAACTGCTGCGAGGTAACAAAGAGAAGGAGTGTTGCTCTAAAAATACCGTAAATTTGCAAGATTGATTTGTTTAACTCATTCATGCATTTTTACACAGAGCCAGTCTTTCACTGCAGCGTTTCTTCAGGGTCGGTGTTAACAGGAGGAACAAGCCACATACGGTTTAAGACAGACTTCTAAAAATGTCCTTCTAGATGGTTTCTGTAGGAAATGTTAAAAAAAAAAAAGAAAAAAAAAAGCTTTCTTATCAGGTTTGTCTTCTAAGCTTCAGCTGTGTTCTTCTTTCACATGATGCTAATTTCGTTCTATTTCAGATTAAAAACTGATGTCCGCCTGCTTCAACTTAAGACCAAAGTGTTTGAATCCCGTCCAGATACCAAAACAGCCAAAGATTTTTGTTTAAATTTGGTCTAATTTAATTTCAGTGCTTTAAAAAAAATGCAAACTCTTTCCAAAGGCTTTACTTATGAAGTGCATATTGTAGATATTATGATATTTAGAAATACATGAGACACTGTTCAAAAGAAGAAGTATCTATAGGATGTTTTATTTAAAACACACACACACACACACACACACACACACACACACACATACACATTTTCATCTGGTTTTCATTACGTCTGTACTTTTTAATGTTGTGCACTGGATGTTTTAATATCGAACGCAATAATTCAGGCTATTTCCACTGATTGTCCACAAGGGGTCATCTTATTTCACGCCGTGGCTCTGATTGGAGAAACGTGCAGCATAGAGAAGACCTGCAGGCTTCTCTGCTTGCTGATTAATTATCTAATGAATCTCCATGACAGGACACGGGTTCGGTGATGCCGCCCCGATGACATTTAGCAAATACATCACGACAAACTCTGCAGAGATTCAGTAATCCGGCCGGTGGAGGTCTTCAAATGGAAGTTGTGCTGTGGAATTAGCTCTCCTTTCTTTATTTTTTTTTTTAAATGCAATTAATTAATATCAGCATGAAAAAAACAAGTTATCAGTATTCTGATGTTTTGGATTGATTTTGGGTTTTTTTGTATGTTTGCTGAATGCTTCACTAACAGAACAAAGACGGATTTTTATTTGACATTTGTTGTGATTCCTTTGAATTAAATAAATAAAAAACTGTTTAATTTGTACATTTGCCCTGGTCTGATTTCTTTTTTTCTTTTCTTTTCTTTTTGTTCAACAAAGAACGTTTACTTTATTATCTTTCTTTGGAGAGAAAATGTGATTCTGTTGCCTCCATGAGTGTGTGTGTGTGTGTGTGTTTTTAGGTACATTCAGTCAGAAGGCAGATAAAACACCCTCCACTGTGTAGCTTTCATGTGTCCATTTATTTCGTCTTATTCACCTTCGTTCCATCTTTTGAGCACACACACACACACACACACTCCCTCATTATCATGTCAGACCCCTGTCAGACAGCTCACCACCCCGCCACCGAACGAGAGCAACGAGAATGGACCACTTAAAAGCCTGGAGACCTTTATGTCTCTCTCTCTTTTTCTTTTTAAAATACATTCAGCACAAAAAAAAGGCTCATTTCCACAGCTGGTTGTCTCACAGTTAACATTTTCTTATGCTTCCCCTATAGAGCATTTGCCTGCCTTTTCCATTTCAACTAATAGCCAAAGGGGGAGAAACGTGGAGGAGTCGAGCCCGTGGTCCATCTCTGTCGTCTCTCCTCCCTAAATGAAAAGAGACTCTCGCTGGGGTCATGTCTGGTCTGCTCCCCGGAGACCAGGCTGGGCCCAGTCTGTAGGGCATGTCTGGGTCCTGCTTCTCACACACACACACACACACTCACACAAATCCTGGTCTCTATAGCAACCACAGCCAACCACGGCCGCCCGACTTGGCCTGCTGCAGTCCACGGAGCAGACCGAAAGGGGCCCCGAGGCCTCCGGCAGCACAGATGCACATAAGTAATGTGATTATATAAATATGTCAGCCCTGTCACCTTTCACTTCATTAGGCCGGACGCTCTCACACGGCTCCACTGGTCACGGTGGGCTGGAGGATGCTTCTCATCTGATGCACACTTCCAAATCGTGTTATTTATCAGGAGCTTTTTTTTTTTTCCTGGAAATGTTCCTTAAACCCCGCTGACATGTCGAGGTTGTTAACTGGTGCACTTCTCAGTGGCTTTGTGATTGTTGATATCCTCCAATGAAGCACGTGACCGCTGCATAAAAACACACAGAGGTGGACGTCTCAGCGACTAAATTGGAGGAAACATTTGTGAATTCTGATTGGACGTGCAAGTCATATGATATAAATCATGTCAGCTTTTCAGACAAGGAGCCTCTGCAGTGTCGTTCTGGTGAAAGGTCACGTTCCTCGACTGAATGTTCTGATAATGTCACAAAGCTTAAAAGAAAAAAAACACATCTGAATGATTATAAACTGCTGTACTAAACGGAAATTGTAATCTTTTAAAAATATTGTCCAGTAAATATAACACTTCCTGCTGCAGCCACAGATTTCTTCCCAGACTGCAGCAGGGCATCAGGTTCATAGTAATTACCAGTGATTAAAGCATGATCTTCTCAGGAGGTTGGGGTCAGAGATCAGGACCCAGCGCAGCGGCGAGACACCCCATTGTCATGCATGATGTCCTTTGTCAATTGGAGCACCAGTTCTTAAAAGGAAATGTTTTATCTGCGATATCTCCCACGCTCCTTGACGGAAGGCACAATTAAGCGAAAAACATTAAAATGCCATGAAAAAAACAAAAAAAAAGGGTATGTTTTAATTAAGTCGCACACACACACACAAACAAAATCAAAGCAATCTGGTTACAACAAAAACTGTGCACACCATGCATTCAGAAAAATCTAAAAAAAAGAAAATTTCAGCTTCACAGTAAAATGATTTCAGAGCATTCGATTCCAATATCTAAAAAAAAAAACCCACACACACTAAAAATCAAAAGAGAAATACAATAAAATGTACAGAATTACAGAATCTGTATCATTTCTGGGTAACAAAAATTAGAGGCAACGCATCATAAATAAATAAATAAAACACAGTGACGAGGACGGATTGAAAGAAGGCTTTGATTAATCTAACATGTACGTGGCTGAAAGACTATTTAAGAAAAAAAAAAGCAGAAACGAAAAGCTGATGGGACTAATTAAGACGCTGCAACTTATAACGTTGCTAATGAGTAGTGTTTGACGATAACAGCGAGAACAGAAATGTGTTTGGAGTGTTCATTCTAACAGAGTCTACTTGTTCTAAATACGCATGAACAGGGAGGAAGGAGATTTTAAAACTGACTCAAAATTCCTGAGCTCCCAGGCACTTCGGATTAAAAATAAAAAAAAGCAGAAGCTCGTCGGCGTTTGGCTTTCAGATACTAACACACAGCCACAGCTACAGTCATTCTCCATCAACCGTGGTTCACTCAATAAGAGCTCGACTAGGTCGTTGCAGAAAAAAGAAAAGAAAAAAAACAGCAGAAAGACAACAAAAAAAAACATTTAGCACTCTTGAATCGGTTCTTTCAGGGCCTCAAAAGGCCCCTCACAAAAATACATTGTCGTACTACTCAGGCTCAAGTCCGAATACCCACCCTGGTACCATTAAATATCTCAAATGCAGCATTTAACAGTGTTCTGCCGAGGACGATTCAGGGAACACTGGCATAGATACACGTGGAAAAAATGTTCTGCTAAAGTAGCTGGAAGATGACACTGGGGCCTGTATCACAAAGAGAGACTTGGGGGATGTCTTTGGGCTTAACTCGGGTTTTATGACTCACTTTTAGCCTGGGTAAGTTACCATAGCAACATAAGATGTAGGGCTAACCAGCGCCAAGCAGGGTCAGTTTCAGGGGATCACATCTAAACATAGTGACGAATCAAAAAACTGGATAGTTATATTTCTGTAGGATGCTGACATGTTCATGAGCTCACAATAAAGAGAAAGATTTCATATAAAGGTAAAATCATATCGATTACTTTGACAGATAAAAAGGTTTCTAGTCTGTGATTAGAGCTACTAATCCGTTTGTTGTCAACTGATGATCAATTAATCAGTTTAAATATTTCTTTTTACGAAAAAAGTCACAGTCTGCAGAATTTTAAATGAGCAAATTATCTGTATTTCTTTTAGTTTTCTGTGGCAGCAAACTGAACGTCTTTGAGGTTGTGGACAAAACAATCATCTGAGGATATTATCTTGGGTTTTGGGAAACACTGATCAACACTGTTACCATTTTCTGACATTTGAGAGGGAAAAAACTAATCAATGAATCGAGAAAATAATCAACAGATCACTCAACAATAAAAATAATCCTTAGTTGCAGCCTGACTGTGTCTCAAACAAGCCTTAATAAACGTGTTACCACCCAATGAATGGAAGTTATTGCTGCATATTAACTGAGCACATCGTTGCAATCACTGTTTATCAGCAAATAAGTAAAGTATACGCTAAGCAAATGATAAATGCAGCATACTTTTTGGTCAGATAGACATAATTCTGCATTTTTTCCATTTCATTTTCATCTTTGTTATCTATCTTTACCATTTTGATATTTTCTTCAAAATGAGACAAACAAGGAACAAAAGGTCACTTTTCTGGACTCCTGAACATGTTGAAAACGCCTGATTTAAAAAACAGCCTACATTATAACTCCTACACTCATCCTTGCCTTCTCCTATTTTTACAGCTTCTTATTTAACCGTCTAATTTTGCTGTGGGTGTCATTATGTCATATTACATTTTGCAGCCGCAGTTGCTTTGATGATCAAAGTGAACGTGCTTGGATCCTGCTTGGAACCCAGGTTTAAAGGTAGTCGGTGATACTAATCATTTACAGTTTTTGCGAAATTTAGAGAATACACAGTGTCCTGAGAGTCGGTCAGTTGTCGGCTGTGTGTGTGTGCACTGGAAAAAAATGATCCGGTGTTTGTACACAGCCGTGGTTCTATAAACGGGGAACAAAACAAGTGGCTCGGAATGAACAGCATTCTAACATGTCCTGTTTAAGTTTGTGTGTGCTCGTGTTAGTGCACAGGAAAGGGGACAGTAAATGTAGCACATGCTAACTAAACATACTGACTAGCTAATTATCAACTATGTTTCTCTAGAATCGTCGACTTCACCTTTAACTGAGGCAAAACCAGTTTTAGGATACAGGTTAATCAAAGATTGCCGGTCAAAAGAAAGTAGGCTAAACTAAGTTGAAGTTGCTTTGTGATACAGGCCCCAGTTCCTTCTTTATATTTGTGTTATTGACGCCAGTAGCCTCAACAAGTCGACAACGAGGCAGCAGACTGTGTCCAACCTTGATCAGAAATCCTGCTGCAGCCAGAAACCTGTCTGTAGTTGTGTTCTAATGAAACATCCCTGTCGCTGTCTGCAGGCATCCTTTGCAGCAGCGTAATGTTAGCGGAGAGCTGGAGTTGCATTGCATGTAGAGAAGAGCAGCTCTCTGATTTCCTCAGTTAGTTCTGCATGAGGTACTGGTGGAAGTAGATGCCGAACAGAGAGCTGATGACCTGGCAGGCAGCCACCCACCAGGTGAGGAAGGCGAAGAAACCTCGGAAGAAAAGGGGAGTGAGGACGGAGCGGAGCGCCGTGAAGGTCTCCGACAGGCGAGCTACTGTGGCCTGGATGTCCTCCTCCATGTCCTCCATCCCCTCCTCGTCTTCATCGAGACCACCGGGCAGGACGGGAGCTGCTGTGGGCAGCACCAGAGCTGGTGTCACCCCGGGGGTGTCCTCAATGCTGTTATCCCAGGAGAAGTTCCCTGCAAGAAACCAGTTCTTGTTAGGTTTCTTTAAAACTTGTATTAGATTAAGTTTTTCCTCTCGTATGTATCCATCCAGTAAATACATCGCTACGGCCAGCAGTTAAGTTGAACTCAGATTACGAGAGTTTCAGGTCGATTTATCCTCGTTCCCACTCTCTCCATCATCGGAAAAGAAACGCGGTCTGAGAACTTGATTTAATCTGATGTTCAGTCCAGATCATTCAATAACGTGAAGCGTTTACAGATCAATTCTTATCAAGACCTCTCTGATTAACATCAAACATATCTGATATTTACAAGCTAAAATAAGGATGTTTAAGAATTATCGCGCTATCGCCTGGAGCAATGGATACTGTTGCCAAGCAACGCTAAATGTTCCAGGCCTCAAGGTCAACTTTAGCTACAAATATTTAAGCTACAACTCAAATCTAACCTCTGTGTTGACCTCATCCTCCCAACCATTTGCTGATCAGACTTGCTTTGCCTTTTGCTTTAGTTTGTTCTCACTGTTCTACTGACATTACAACAAGCTGTTGCACAAACTTCTTAATTTTCTGTTTTTTGTTCTTAATCTTCCACAATAATCTTAAAAGCATCCTGTGAGATGTGAGATGAGGTGTGAAATTTTTTCCCAAAATTTTTTCTTCAAACCTTTCTATGTGAGAACTGCTCAGGCTTTAAGAACTTAAATGGCTGCTTAAGACCCACCTCTTATCATAGAGCCTGACACTTTGGCTTCATTTGACTTTGACTTCCTATGTGTGTAATGCAACACCATTTCAAAGTCTTTGTTTGTCCGATCTGAGCTACTGTAGAAACATGGTGGGCTTAATGGAAGATAGACATAAGACTCATTCCAAAATAACAAAAGCACAACCACTACTAGTTTGAAAGCTTATAGCTTTTGCAAATTTTCAACTCTTGTCATTGGCCGACATTACTAATTACAGCAATTGAGAGTCTCTGATGGAGAAAATAAAGTTTGTCCAAATGCATATCTATGATGTGGTGTCAGACTTTAAATCTAACTCTTGGCAAGAAAGAAAACAGACATATTTCCCAAAATGTCAATGTATTACTTAAAGTCTACATTCGGATGTTTTGAAAAAAAAATAATTCAAAAATCAAGATCAAACGTGAACTTTATTATTAAATGCTGTGGTTCTGATGATGACAGTGAGGGCATTTTACTTACCCAGTGCTTTGAGTGCCAGTGTAGAGAAGAGGATGAGCAGAATCGGGACCAGATACTGAAGAGTAACGACTGTCAGGTAGCAGAACACACGTGTGACCTGAAAAAGAGAAACACAACTGACTGTCTATAAAACTTAAATGACAACTCTCCTCTTCATTGTTCAAAGTTCTCTGTTTAGCTGCGTACGATTCAACCAGAAGATGAATTAAATCACAGCATGAGATGTGAAACTGTCTGACCTTCCTCTGGATGTCGATGGCAGCGATACGTCCTGCCTCCCTCTTCATCTGCTCCACCCACTTCTGAGCCAGGTTCAGGTAGGCCTGCAGGTGGTAGCGGGTCAGCAGCAGCCGCAGAACGCACAGAACCACGATGATCCACAGACGCATGCTGTCGAACGCTGCGCTGGACACTCTGCAAGAATAAGAGCGAGCGAGAGATCAGCAGCTAACCAGGTGGCCAGTCTCTTCTATTTCTTAATTGTTGTTTCTATCTTAGAATTGAAGCTACTTGTAGTGGATACAATTGCAAACATGTTTGTGCACTCACAGGGTGACCGAAGTCTTTCCCAGAGGTGCATTGGCCAGGAAGTCTCTTGCAATAGGTTTCACCCACAGAATCAACACAATAACTGGAGACAGGAAACTCATGTGCAGCAAAATCCTGTTGGGGAAACATTAGGGACACAGTGGAGAGAGATAAGCATGCTGTTGACATTAGAGAAGAAGAAGTGTGTCTTGTTTTTCCTGTAATGGTTCCTACTGGATGAGTGGGCGATCTGAGTTCATCTGCACAGCGTCTAGATGAGTCTGAGCCAGTCGCAGGCCGGGGAAAGCAAGGAGAGCACCGATGTAAGCACAGACAGCGGCCAGACCGAGCTTCACCGTCAGCTTCGTCACTGGGATTCTGAAATCAAAACAACAAGCAGGATTTGAGCGATTAGCGTGCATGTTGTCCAAGTGCAGTAGAGTCTGGCTCTTGCATTGTCTTAAATAAAAGCAGCGTCCCTTAATGCAAGAAGAAATGTCAACCACTTTAAAAATAACTAATCAGTATTTCAGTTAGAAGCTGTCGGACAGACACTTACGACCAGTCGGCGTAGCCCTGCTGCTTGGCAAAGATTTCCAAGTTGTCGAAGAGACTTGCAAAGCCAGGCTCTAGGCCAAACTCCAGGTAGTCCTCTCTGACCACCAGCACCAGCATGGCCACGAGCAGAGACAGAAAACCAAAGGCGAGGCACACCGAGCGCTCGCCGCCCTCTTCAGAGCGGAAGTAGTGGCTCATCAGAGTGTAAAGGGTCCGTCTGAGGGCTGTGGGTTAAGTGAAAGCAACTCCTCCCGTCCGAGGCGCGCCATACATTTTAGCAAGGACACTTCAGCTTTAATTTATCAACTAATTTTCATATATCAGGTTATAATTTCATATAACTTCTGACTGCTTGCATACATTCTGATCATAAGCTATTGCAATGTTGTAATTGTGATGAGATCTTTCATCACCTCCGCTGTTTGATCATGCAAAAAGTTAAAGCTTTAGAATGAGATAATTAGGTTTTATAAGGTCAGTCTGTACGGCACATGCTTGCAAACTTTGCTGTTGGACGTTAAGTTACTTCACAGTTGAAGGATACAGACCGAACAGCACGGTTAAGACACACCAGATGGCTCCGATATTGACCTCTTTGCTGGCATCTACCACGTTGTAGTAACACTCGGTGAACAGGAAGACGCCCATTGCGTACACGGCAAAATCTATAAGCCACTGGTACTCCAGGAAAAACCGCAGCACTGAAAGAGAAAATAGAAAGACTCTGAATTCATAAGCAGATACTTTTACTACTACTGGAGTGTTTCCAAGCAGAGAAATATATTGAAAAAATACTGTACATATTTTGTGGGGTCGACAGCTGACCTTAGAGCAGTATTTGTACTTGTAAAACGTGACTGTGATGTAGATAAAGGCGTGTTTGTTTTACCCAGAGCGTCCATTACGTTGACTGGAGCTTTCTCTAGGTGAAGGTCAATGTCTTTGGGCACAGTCAGAGGCTTGTTCTCGCCATTCTGTCTCCTACAAACAAACACAAAAGGACCGCATTGAGAGAAAGAAATCAGGTATACATGAACAACCACACTAACATGGTTGTGACTGTGGTTTTTGCTCATGAGTTAAGTTAGAATAGATATTATATATTACAGTGCAGGTACATTGGAATTCTTTGTCCATAGAACAAAAGGTAAAGAATAAAAGTGAGAGCAGCAGCAAAAAAAAACCCCATCAAATATACATTATAAGAAGAAAGTAAGTACACATTATAAAAAAAGCACTTTGTATAAAACAAATATGAGAATAAATACCCTGAGAAGCTATTGCTTATATTATGTAGTGAACAGAAGTAATATTGCACATGTTGGTTTGTAAATACAAGTGAAATTAGAATAGAAGAGACTTTTTTTTATTTATTTACACGCCACAGCAGGATCCAAAAAGTATAGAAAAGAAAGTACAAGGAAATAACAATAATTAAGTAATGAAATAAGTACGTACGAAAGATGACAAAAAATATACTATTGAATGAAAAAATATACAATATTTACACTTAAAACTATTTTATCATAGAAATGCTGCACATAAATTTGCACATAAATTGGGACATTATGTTTGAGGAGTTGGCAACGGGAGGAGATGGTCTGTCAGATAAGCTGAGAACTTGCGAGAGAAACTACAAATCTATCCTATCATTGTGCAAAGATTAAAAGATTTAAAGAAACCTCCCACCTGTCTCTTCTGTTTTGTTTGGGCATCTGCTTTCCAGCCAGTGCACACAGTTCTCCCTCTGAAGGGTGTTTGAATCGGAACAAACTAGAAAGAAAAACGGACGCATGAATATGAACAGTGCACAGAACAGCAATGTAGGAGCTGATTGTAAGGGTGACCATACCTGCCGTTGCAGAGGAGCCAGCGTGCGAAGGAGCAATGTGGAGCCATCCTCTGCATTATGCTGGCAGCCAGCAAGCTGACCACCAGCTGAACCCCCATCAGCGCCTGTCAGACAGAAGAAACACACTCATGATCAACTCTGAACACTTCACCTTGCACAGGAGAGCAGGATGTGTGAGTAGGTTGTTCAGCAGAAAGTGTAAGCGCCAAAAGACGCAAGAAAGTTTCAATAAAATGTAGTTTTCGCAACATCACAATTAAGCTCACAAGCTGTGGTAGAAGCTAAATCACACACCGTGCTGAAAAAAGCTAACAGCAGCAAAAGATGAAGTCCAGCAACTTTTAACACACGATGTGTTGAAAGCTCCTGCAAAATGAATGAAACTTAGCAAATGGCTAGAGTGCTAAATTTAGCTAAACTCCACCACCTGTCAGCGCTGCAGCAAGCGTTAGCTAGCTAGTTACCGTTAGCAACCTAGCTCTCTCAGTCCCCAGTAACGAGCAAAATGAGCTCGCTGGAAAGACACACACAGCACAGTGTTCGCAATTAGGTGTGTTTGTGCGAAAGTGTGAGTAAAGTTACCATTTCTTCTCGCAAAAGATGCGGTTAAAACCTGACGAGCTGCCGGAGCTTCTTCTTCTTCACATGCAGGAAAGTCTTGACAGCTGAACCAAATGACATGTGAAGCAGCTGAATGTCCCGGATGTAGTCGTGGAGCGAAGAGGTGCCTTCAGGTGCTCTTCGAAAGCTCCGGAAATCTCAGCGCTCATAATAGTCGCCGCTGCTTTGCATGAGTGTCGATCTAATTTGAACATCTTGGGTGACACATTAAGTGGGGATCCTGGCGTCTTACCCTAGGTGATTTGAAGCATCAAATGCTGTCTATATTTATAGTGGAAATGTCTTTATTCATGTAAAGGAAAACACACAATGCGGGATTTAATTCAAAATATAATAAAACATATTGCAGCAAGGCTCTCAGGTATTTTGTATTGCTTTCAGTTGTTTATTTTCCTGTAGGTCAGCTTTGTCATTTGATATCACCCTTGCTTTTTAAATACACACACAAATGTTACTCCTCTACAGTAAAGAAATAGCTGCGATGAAGTAAAATTCTAACAGCCACGAATAGTACACTGAACAGTATCTGTAAAAATCAATGTCATTGGTGTTATCCAGCTGCAAGTATTTCAGGTTATTCTGACTTTTGCCCTGGGCATCCACATTTACCACCATATGAAACCACACACTGGATGCCATTTCTGGCACAGCGAAGGAGACAGAAAGGAGGGTTAGGGTAAAATGTTCTGCCTGTGATTCATATCTTTGTTGTTGTAACATTAAGGGACCAAAAAAAAGCTATTTTATTTACTATATATTTTTTAAACTAATCGGCCGATTAATTGATTATCAGGATTTTTTTTTTTGCCAAATATCGGCTTTGGCCTCAAAAAATCCATATTGGTTGAACCCTACACTAAACCTGTGTAGAGGTTCTTACTTTTGTGCAGAAGCTGGTTAAAAAGAATCCTTGAGTCTGATCAAAGTGTTGCTGGTTTGGAGAGTCCCGTGAAAAATACAACAGGAACAAAACAGTTGATGGTTTATACTGTTACTGATATTGTGGTGGTCTGTGCTACACTAAACCTGTGTAGAGGGTCTTACGTTTCTGCAGATGCTAGTTGCGAAGAAGCCTTGAGTCGTCTCAAAGTGTTGCTCTCGTCTCGTGCAGGTTGATAGCTGTGAGAGTTTTGTCTCGGTGACCAGAATTTGTCCCCTCAGAGGTTCCACTACATGACATCTTTGTGAAATCATGCTGCTAATGTTCTGGATTCTTGTGGCTGGCCAACTTCATCAGAGGCACACTTAGAACGTTACACAGTAGCCGTGTCTCAATACTCAAGTACACAAGTCCAACTTAACTTTCCAGAAAGTAACTGAAAAAACTCTGACAAGTGTTGATGTTACACGCTATGATTTACTGTTCTGCCTTCTTATGTGTCTTTTGTCTGGCACCTGTCCATGTGAATGATAAATGAATTCCTTTCAATTAATCTATAAAACCCACGGGCCATAGCATTTTGTTACATCTATAAAACAAGACGAGGGGTCAAAGCAGGCCTGCAGCAGGACAAGATACCACCTATAAAATAAACTGTAACATTTGCAGAGGAGCCAAAGCAGGGCCTCTGTTGGCCCACATACAATCTAAAAAATATATATGCTGTGAAACCAAAGTGGACTCTCTGTAGGCCCAGATACCACTACTAAGATAAGCTGAGGGGCCAAAGTGGGCCTTCTGCTGGTCCACATGCTATCTGTATAATAAAGTGGTCCTGAATGGAACCCATGGATTGTTTGGTAGGAAAGACCTGTCGAAAAAATGTATTCCTATCTGTCTCCTTTTGCACTATGGCTGCCACAAATAATTTAAACATTGTTTTATTTTGTTATATTTCATTTTATTTGTATATAAGTGTCCTTTGTTCTAATTGGGATAATGAAGGAAAAACAATAACACTACTGAAAACCTAAATCACTGTGAATTTGATAATATAAAAGCAAATATCGACATTATTAATGTGTTAGTAAAATAAAATAATTTATTTGGTAGTAACGGAAGCTGTTATTGTTATTGTTTATATTTAAATTTTCAAACCGGAAACGGAAATTGAACTTTGACACCGGCGCCAATTCTGCTGCGTTCGAGTGGCGCTAAACTAAAACTAAACCACCGACCTGCTGGCCAGAAACGGACTTTTCTTGTCAGAGTAAACATGTTAACAGAAATGCAATAGGTCTGAGTGAGTAAAAGTGTTTTTAAAGGTTCGTCTGGGTTTGTAATAAAAGTACGTTAGTGGTACGTTAAATTTGCTTGATGGTAGATAAAAAAAAACAAACAAACGTAGCGGTTATTTTAACTAACGCTGACTTTTTCTGTAGTTTTATGTCACCTTGGATAAAGACATATTTTTTGAATTTGAGTTTTGTCAGTGTAACAGGGTTTTTGTTGTTGTTGTTGTTGTTGTTGTTGTTTAGCATTAGCTAGCTAGCTGGACCCAAAATTTGCTAAGGAAATGTGCTGCTGTAATTGCTGTTGAAAGTCAGTGAAGACTTTGGTGGTGGAGAAAAAGTTGTTGGCCTTTGTGGGGTATAGACATGGATAGATATTTCAGCTTTGAAGTGGAGAAAGAGGGAACAATTTGCAGAAAATGGCACAAATTGTAATGTAACTATGTGGTAAGTGTGCTACCTGCTGAGCCACTTTGGAGGCCCAGTTGTTTTTTTTTCTTCTTGTTTTTAAGTGTAAACTCAGCCATTTGGTAGTAATTTTCAACCTGTGCTTTTAAAAGTATGAAAGAGTTGACAGTTGGGATGACTTTTTGCCTTTCACTTAGAAGGATGTACTGCACTGTGTCCACCAGTGGATGTGCTGGACAGTAAGTCTCATCAGCCTCTTTGGTGTCCCATGAGTCGACTCTTCTGATCAAATTCCAGTCATGGATGAAAAGTGGTAAGCTGATGTACAGTTCAGTTTACGGGAATTTAACAACAGAGTCTCTTTTTGTAAGTGCTTTGTAGCTCCTTCATATTCTAACACTGTATACAACTGGTGATGGTAAGCAGTGCATAAATCTGTAGGTGTTGCATAGCTGATGTGATTTTAGCTTTTACCCAGTCTCAGCCATCCAAGTCTCTGTCTTTAGTTGGTTCGGGCTCTTTCAGTATTTGATCACCTTTTAATTAAGCTTTTCTATGTAGATTTTATCATTAGACTTGGCTTAAACCAGCAGATTATTCCCCTCTGGTGTTGCTTTGTCCACCTGCCGACTGAGTGTCCTGAGGTCCACAGGTGGTTGTGACATTGCAGTTGTTTAAAAGAACCACCTCAGTTCCTGTTTAATGCTCAATTTTCTCAAATAGATTTCAGCATTTCTGTTTATTATTCCTATAGCTTCCTAGCCATACAATTATTAAACTCTAAAACATGCTTTAACTTCCTCCTCAACACCTTTCAGCCGTAGAACGTAAGGCTGCCAACAAGAAACCCTGGATGTCCAGCAAAGTGATTCATCATCACCAACGTCAGCGCGCAGCTTCAGTGAGTACATTTAACTGGTAGTCTTTTGAACAAGTACTGACCTTAAATGTTTCATTTATATTTCTTTTCATAGCTTTCTCGTGTCTCAGTGTTCACATGAGTAATTATGTGTCACTGCCCTGTAATGTGAAGTTCATCAAGGGTCGATTTTTGGTTCTATCCCATTCTTCTGATACCTTTTGGCCACTTCTGGAGGAAAACATACAGCTAGAATTCTCTGTCATCTAATATGACTACATAGCTTGTGTCATCGCCTTCCTTTTTTTTTTTAACTTTGACAAAACGTGACGTCTTTGTGCTTGACCCTGACTATCCATCCATCCATTATCTATACACCGCTTAATCCTCACTAGGGTTGCGGGGGG